ATATTTGTAAGCCTAAGTAGTTAAGGGTTAGTTTATTAAAAGGAAAGAGCAGGGTGTGATGGTACTTCCTACCCTCGCTGCCAGAGGGATCATCCATCATTTGCAAGTCCCTACTTTCTCGCAAGCGCACACCTCACTACTCATCCAAACATACAAAATATCATATAATTCGTGGTACAAGTGAAAAAAGCAATTCCTTGTGTAAAAATAAATTGGGAATGCAGAATAAATTTTTATACGAGGTTTTGTTTTCAAGAAAATTAATTTTGATGATTTAAAATTAATGATCGTAAGAAACGATCATGACTATTCTGTTCATACTTGTGAACAATATTAGGACTTGTAACAGTGTCATAGTTTATCTGCTATTGTTCCTGCTATAATTATCTGTCTGAATCATCAGTATCTATGAACTTATCAGGACAACCCGATTATATAGTAATAGCGAAGAAAACATTTTCAGCTGTTCATAATTTAAAGAATTAAATGACAAATACTGCTGGACAAATTTTTTTAATTTAGTTTCCTTAAATACACGAAGAAATTATCTCCCTACCTCTTGTACCGTCAATAATGCGATACCTTCGACATATTTTTAATTGTTCCGTGCTTAAGGCAAAAGTTTAATTTTCTTTTTCTTCACTTTCTTCCTGAGTGTAACCATCACAAAAAGAAACATTTAAAAATAACTGGCTTATAGCAATAAGGCGCTTACAGAAGTTAAACTAGATAGATAGACACGTATAAAATACCGAAAATGTTATAATTAGTCCAAGACAGCATGTAATTGCAAACAATTCCACTTTTCATTTGTGAAACCATAGAAAGAGAAGGACAGGACGTAGAAGAGACTCAAACTTCCTGTTTGTTCTCTGCACGTTAGTTCTGTGATTCACGAACGAGGAGCACATGTCGGTTTTTCGCGCCAGGGTCGCGCGATATTTTGTTCCTCCTTTCCGCTCATCCGGCGTGTTGAGGTTATGTTGTATGAAGTAAATTCATGAACTTAGGTCGTAATACATTCGCAAACTAATTCCATAGATTCACAAAGAATCGTTAAAAAAGTACTTCTTGAGAGTTTGTCACGTGACCTTGGATGACGTCACCGAGGCCAATAGGAAACCTTCCAAACGGCGTTATAACCCGAGCTACCGGAGCAAAAGTTCGTGTGACGTCATCTGCGCAGCAGAGCCACGCGCATCCCTTGCCGAACCGACGTGGAATCAATTGCTAATTTGCAAGGAAAAACCTTTCTTTCCTTACGTTTGCATCCATCTTATTCACGATTATTCAATGACCTATCGGAATGCAATTATAAACACGCATCTATCGATGCATTTACAATAGAACATGCACTTGTACGTCTTGATTTTCATGATTTTTTAATGCAGTTCATGATATTTTCTTTGTTTCTTTAACCTGTTCTTCTATATCGATAATGAACACTCTCGATTAGAGAGAAACATCGATGATTCCGAAAGCGACCGAGGAAGAATTTATCGCGTGCGACGTGTGATGGGACATGAGAGAAATATATACGGTTTAAAGTGAAGGCTAGCGGCAACGTCGCAAACCGTTTGTCGGACTCAGCCACCGAGTCACCGACTTTTCGAGGCCACGGCATGTTGTGTGCCCGTGCGCTTAAAATTCATTTCGATTACGAGCGCGATCTATCGGTGCTGGGAAATACGAGCTCAAGGACGAGCTTTCCCTCCGCGTTCGTGGCTAAATCTCGGTCGGTAATGCAGAGATTTACTTTCTCCCTTGTGTGTTCGCGTTCCACTTTAGCAGCTAACCTTGCCACTGTGAATGGCAGTTACACTGCCGTCCATAAGTATGGTCGCGTGCAACTTAGGCTTATTTTGTTTGGTTAAAAGAAGCTTTAGGGGAAGGACAATCCCACCACTCGCTTTATTTATTCATGTTCTTTAGGTATAAAGGCAAGAGGAATTTCATTAAACAAATTTTTGGAAACTATACGCTTCTGTTAACGTCAATCAAAGCATTTTTTTTTATTCTTTACAATACTGGAGTCGAAAATTGATTAGTTCAAAAGATATCTCAGGGAAAGACCACTGGGCTCTCTCTGTCTCTCCCTAATATATCTTTATTATTGCATTTTCGACCGAAGTACTTTGATACTTTTTTTGTAGGGAATAATAAAACGCTTCGATTGATGTATAACAAAATACATAATTCTATTTAGAAAAATGAAGATAACTTTGAAATCTTTGAAACACTTTCACTTCCGGTACTGACACGTGCACCACATGGTGTTCCATTCAACGCCATTTAATTTTTCCTGAAGACATTGTGTTTTATCTTTTACTGTTTTAAAGCCATAAGTTGTGCCAGTTACATGGGTCACCCTGTATACTTAAGTTTTCAGCATGAAAAATTTAAATCTTGATTGTTAATTAAGTAAAAATAGAATCAAAGATGGTATTTCGAGTTTAGTCGTAAAATTAATATCAGTTGTTTCAAAATTAATAATAATGAATATTTCCGATGAAAGGCAAGAAAGATATGAAATCGAAAGGAAAGAAAACTCTAATCGCTTACGTGTTTTTATGGTAGCCTGAAAGTTTGCCCGTAATCGGTGCTCATGCTGCATTATTGTAACGAAGAGGCAGATGAGTAATTGTTTGAAAGTTGTGATAGATAGTCCAGATACAGCAGTTTGTTGTATTCAATTATCGCACAAGTCGGAGGAATGTGGATTATCAGTTCAAATATTTGCCAGCTCGGTGCCGATAGTCGTGACAGAATTAAGAAGTTCATATGGATCGCACGGAAATTCATGTAACGGTTTGAAAAAAATTTTCCATCGAAATATCATTCAGCTTATTTATTGTCATTTCTTTTTTCTCTTTCTTATTTTCTTTTTATTTTTGGATCTCTCGATAATGCGGTTTACGTTGAGAGAAAAAAGAAATACTGTTACATTATCATTTCCTTCTGCCTTTCTCAAAATTAGAATCGAATATTTTTCCATTTATAATCAACATTGTTGTTTTTTTTGTTTTTAATTAAAAATTTTTAATGAAACTTCGGAAAAAATTTCCTTTCTCTACAGTTATAATAATTAAATGATTCACATTGAAATCCTTTTCTTTATATTCTTTTTTTCTTGCAATTTTGCAATTTCTCATGTAATATGATACCGATGTTGCAATAATGTCTCTGAAATACTTTCATTGTAAGGTACGTGCATCGAATTTCATTTGAATAGTGATTAGCAGGAAGCAAATTTTACTGTTTTGGAAATGGAGTTGCTTCGTTATCTTAACTGTTGCGCAATATTACGCGTACGATCGTCGCGCGGCTATAAATAAGGAGTAATTTTTAATATTAATACGACGAATGAAAAAATGCAGTCTTGTAAATTATTCATTATATTAAATGCAATGCGTATGCGCCATGGTGTGCGATATGAAATGCAATATGCAAGACGAGTTGCAGTGAACAAATGAAATAATGCTGTTTCACGTTATTATTTGTTAATTCGATACAGGAAACAAAGAAATTACTTAATACCGAAGGGAGCAATTGATAGTTGGCACTATGAATTCGATATACCCGAGTCATCATTTAGTTAAAAATAATTTAAAGATGGCAAATAATTCTAAATTACATTAGTATTATGTTGAGACTGATAGCTGTACATTTCATGGATTTTTTCACTCTTGTAATTTTTTTATTTATTTTATTAATAGAATTACCTGTTCACGATCAGCTTAAAAATATAAGTAAAAATAAATACAATTGATTCAAAATTCACTAAATGTAAAAAGTAACATATTTCTAATATTATCTAATTGATCGACTAGACCGTCGGTTCTATTCTTCTCTTTCTACACTTAAAAGTAAAATAATCTGATTGTGAATAATTTTACAATAAACAGAGGTGTTAATAGAGTAGAATTTTCTAATGACTTGCAAAAGAGTGATTTAAGAAATGATATGAATAGTATAATTTCTAAAGGCGGGATCAGATCTGGGTTAAAGTGTAAAAGGAAATGAACTTCTCATTTATGTTAGCTTTTTTTTCTGTTCATTTTTTATATTGCAATAGGTGTTAAGAGTGCAGTTTTGATCTGAACTGCATAGAAATGCAAACTACGTAACGCGAAATCAGCGTTGCGTCGTTGCGTTATCTTGGCACGTGAAACTGTAACGACGCAACGAAGAGTTTGCTAACTGTGCCTTATTAGAATGAATTATAAATTCTTTCAACTTGTTATTTCATTTTTCCTTTTTTTTTTTGTGGCACTAGGATGTATTCAAATGAAGTCACAAGAAAGCGTATGTTTGAATAATTTGCTCAACAATAGACTCATTCAGTTTATTAAGGAATTCATTACAAAAATGTATTTCATTTAGCTTTAAGCTTGAGTATAACCAATCATATTGCTATAAACTTAACTGCAGTAGTATCGATAACACAGCAAATAAAGAGTATAATAATGAATTTTACAATATTGTTTATTCATAAATTTATCTTTTTTAAATGATAACTGAAACAATGTACTTGTAAGAAATTGCAAATGACCCTATTTCTTAAATATTTAACTTAAACAGTAAAATAATACTTTTTCTATGTATAAATTTAAATATAGCAATGTTGATAACATTGCAAACAGAGGTATAATTAACTTTGTTACGTTATTTATTTATCAATTCCCTGCCATTTAGTGGGAAACAATGGTAGTGGGGAAAAAACCATAAATGTCTCCATTTGTTTTTGAATCTTCAATAGTGAAGTATTCAAATTTCTATAAATTGAAATATAAAAATATTAATAAAATAGCGAATATAGAATACAGTATGTAATTAATTTCACGACATTATTTATTTATTTATAAATTTCTTACGTTTTTAAATAACAACTATTATAGAAATTATAAGCGAATTAACCGTGAATGAAATTCGTCAACTTGATCAATTAACTGTGAATGTGAATGTGTTATTAATCGTGAAATACTTTTTTCTTTGTACAGATTCGGCACATTAGGCAACAGGAAGGCTCGAATAGTCATGCCGTTCAACAGGGGGAAGTGTCTTCATCGAATCCTAACATACTGTCCAACGATCAAGTTGGTCCTATTTTACTCGAGGTATGAATCAACTTAAATCAAAGTCCATCAGTATATTCTGTTCTTGTTACTTTCGTTCGCCGATGTGCACCTGCAACATCCAGAACGTTTTCTTTCCTTTTTCTTTTCTTTTTACGGGCTCTGCCCATTACAAAGGTCTAGCTGATTGAGTACTTTATTAAAATTAATTGAGGTTAAATTGAGGTTTAATGTTGAACCGTGAACGGATACAGATCCACGTAGTATTTCCTAGTAGAATAAAGGTTTAATACGACAACAACAGAAAATACCTTTCTGTTCATTGTATTAATTTTTTTATTATTTAAGTTGTGTATCATAATTCACGTGAATCTGTTGATTCATCCAGCCTGAAAATTTCTGCTGAATCATTTAGGAAATATTTCAACGTATCTAATTCTATCAACGAGACAACGAATCTTTCCAATTGTGTTAACACCCCTGAACTTTTATCTAGGCGTTAGATGGCTTTCTGTTTGTTGTAAATTCGGAGGGACGAGTGGAGTACGTAACGGATAACATAACACAATATATAAATTATACGAAGGACGATGTGCTCGGCAAGGATATTTATAATATTATTCATCATGGAGACCACAACACCTTCATGCCTAGCTTGTGCCCTGTGTCATTAGGTTTGTATACCTCAAAACCAACGATTATTCTCCTCTTACTATCATTTCGAATATCAATTTCCTTCCTCCTCCATGTTCTTACAAATTTGTTCTTCTTAAAAGATACGAAAGATCGAACGATGCATTTAGATTAACCCTTGAACAACGAAATCTGGGTCAATCGAGATCCAAACTTACAAAACATATATAAGAATATCAACCTAAAGGTGAATGTATAATTTTTAAACGAAAGAGTTTAATATATTGTAAGAATAATTTTTCAAGGAACAATGTAAAATTTAGAAAATGAAAATAATATGAAATACATAATTACATTAAAATTGGGGCTCTCTCCGTGGTCCGCTGTCCGAAGGTTGAAAATCTACATTGCGATGGAATCATCTTTCCACGAGCACACGATAATACGATCATTTACGAGTGCGTTTCGTATGCTTCAGGCTAGTTATGATAATGTAACTTTAGCATCTATTTACCGGGTGGATCGCGCACGTGTACTTTTCAGTTTATCTCTTCGGCTTTTGTTATGAAGTTCGACGGTTGCGAAACGGAAAGATTTATCTTATGCGATGGAAGGGGACAGTTTTAAAATTCTCGAACGCAGCAGAAATCCGATGCCATCGGTGTCGTTGTGGCTTCGACAGGCTTGACTTTCCGATCTCTGTCAGGGCACGCAAAATTTCATTTGATATTAATGACAATTTATTATACAACTGCGATCATACCTAATTCAAGTATCCGTAGAAATAATTATCTGGTTAATTTCCTTCTGTTTGAAGGAAAAACTGTAGTCACTCTCTAATACTTTCATCCATAATAATAAAAAAAAAATTAGAAAAATATATTTCATGTATTTTTCAGGATTATAAATTTCCAATAGTAAGTTGCAAAATAAAATACATCAAGTGGTACAATTTAGGTAACTCTCGCCTATTAGCATTAGTAGACAAGTCACGTATGGCACACCTTGAAACACGAAGTACATACTTACGAACTAGTAATACAAATATATTTCGTGTGATCAGTTTCATAGAGCCTGTTCATTAAAAAATAGGCTCGATTTTGATTTTAAATTTTCGATGAAGTATAATTCTCTCCCGAATCTCTCCCGTGTCTCCCTCGTCTCTCCCGTTTCTTCCAAGTCCATGTTTTCATACAGTAATTTCTGTTATCCTAGATAAACACAGTACAAAGTAATAAAATTGTTGTTTGATTCAGGCTGGACGAGCGAGCCGCAGCCCCAAACGAGGAATCGTACCTTCAATTGCCGCTTCTTGGTGAAGCCTCCTGATGATAAAGAAGAGACTATGGAAGAGAAGCAGCAACGAGTATCGAAATACGAGTATCTGCAGATCTGTTCAGCTCTTTTGCCAAGTAATAGCGATCGTCTGGAGAGCGGTGACGTATCATCCGAATCCTCGGACATCGGTCCTTGCGTAATGTGCGTGGCTCGCAGGATACCACCGAACGAGAAACCCATTGGTACCCCCATCGAGCAGTTCACTGTCAAGCTGGACACCGCGGGCAAGATTATCGCGGTTGATGTCAGCTGGCTGTCGCCCCCTTACTCCAACTACCTAACCACGGTAGGGGTACGTAAGATTCCTCATCTATCTATTAATGATGGTGACAAAAGTCAGAATATAATATTATTTACTTGTGGAAAGGGTGTATTTGGAGCTCCTAAAGCGTTTATTAACCTTAGAAAGACCAAGAAAAGAGGAAGCCCTCCTTAAAATTACTGAAAATATATTATTTTCATAAAAAAGCGTTATAATTGTTACATATGAAGCTTGATCTTTCTAAGATTAACCCTCGGGCGACGGATCATGGAGAGAGTCACAATTTCAATTTAATTTTATATTTCATATTATCTTTTGGTTCTTGCATTTTTTTTTTTTTGAGTCACGATTGACCTAAGCTTTGCTCTTCAAGGGTTAATAGCAAATTTTTTAAAATTTGACTTGGACCATTATGACTTTCAACCCATCAATTAATAACATCTATGGTATCTGAGAGTTGGTGTTAAGAATGATATTTTCTAATCTTTGTTACAGGACCTGATTGGCACTACAATAAAGGATGTGTGCCACCCTCATGATCTCAGTAAGCTAACTGCACATTTGAACGATACGCTTCAAGTCGGTGAGAGTACCAGCGGTGTGTACCGGCTACGCGTTAGTCCTGATAAGTTCCTTAACATTCAAACAAAGTCAAAACTTTTCAAAGCAAATGTGATGAATACACACGATACCGACTTTATTATGGCCACCAATTCCATCATCGGGTAAGTTGAACCATTCTTCGTCCTTTTCTATTTCTATTGTTTACTCGTTAAATATGAACGTGTACCTTCAAGATTCATTCAACAACGGATTAATACGTAATTCTTTAACCCTGAATATTTATATTCTCTGATATATCAGTAAGTTTTTTTTTTCAAAAGAAGGAATAGTTAATCTGAGGTTGAGTGTATTCCAAACATTGATTACCAAAGTGACATAAAATAAAGGAAATTTGTGTTTTCATATAAATTGAAATGCTGTGGTACTCAATGTATTGATGTTAGTTAAAGATAATTACGTAAATGGTTAATATTAAATAGAACCTAGTGGAACTTCAGTTAATCCAAATAATACTGAATTAGTGATACAACTTATTAACGATTTGAAATTAACCACCGATTATATCAAGATCAATGTATTTTCCAGCACTCGATAATCGACGTTCCACTAGGTAATTAAGTTAATTTACTGTTCCTTCGCTTAATTACTTTCCTATTTGAAATACATAGGCAAGGGTGACTATATCTACACGACATGTTTCCACCTTATGAATTTCCCGCTGCATTAGGTTTCTGCTAATGTATTCTGTTCACCTAATTTCTCCGTGTTTATCTTATATCCGTTGCTTCAGTAACATTATCGAGCTAACTCAAATACTTACACCAAAAAATTAAAAAAAACAAACAACAATCAAGATCAAAGGAAAAGAGATATAAAACAGAAAAAGTAAAAAAATTTTAACGCGAATTAATTTGAAAAAATTGTAGGAAAGGATATTCGAAATTCCGATTTAATCCATGTCGAATTTTATTGTTGTAAAATCTTTTTGTGGTATTTTTCTTCCTGTTTTTTTTTTAGGTTTTTACAAAATCTTGCATGTTCCGCGACACACACGGGTTTTCTTCTCTCGGTGTTGGAGATCTGGCCACTCTTGAAATTGAAACGATTTTCCCTCACTATGTTTTATCACCGTCGTCGTGTGATTACCATCTCGTTTACGCTTCTTAACGCTTCGTCTGTTAATAATTACTATATACCACACGCTGGTTTTAATCGTACCTCATCGCACACACACATTTTCGGTGTTTGTCTATACACGATCACACTTTTCATCGCATTGTCGTGAACACTGGAATGGCAAAGGTTGCGATAGATTGATAAAATAATAACAATAAATTCTTCCGTGATTTTTGCTATTTTCAATCTCGATTTACAAATTTCCTGACGTTTGTAGAAATGTATACGAAAGAAGAGGTGATCGCAAGACGATCGTGATTGATCGTGACTAATTATTTTTCATTGAAATCGAACACTGTGAGAAAATAAATTAAAATTTAAAAGATACGAATTTGTTGGTCGGATACGATCGCGTTCCCGTTGAAAGTAATTTCTGCGCTCACCTCGAGGTATTTGCGATATCGAGTCACATAGAACATTCGTGCTGCAAGTACTTAGCGAAAGTAAGATTTACAGTGGTCACTGTGCAGTGAAGTAAGTCTTACTTACGCTTGTGTGCCACTTACAACAGGGTATCAAGGTGGCTCGATTGATGCTCAAGGTTTCTCTCTCGGTAAACAGTGCGCGAGATACGAGGAACGTTATATTTCTATATGCTTTTCCAAAGCCCTCTTTTTCTCGGTGTTCCAACGACATTGTATCATCTGGCTTAAGCGTTTCATCGTCAATCTTCTCGTTGCAAACGCGGAGCATACATTTCTCCATTCGAATTTTTAAAGAACAAATAATTCGGCAAAGAATAATACTTAACCCCTGTTACCGAGCACTGTTCACCGTAAATCGCTGAAATAAGAACCTTGTGATAATAGAGTAATGCTTAGTGTTAGACTAAAAAAAAAAAAAAAAAAAAAAAAAAAATGCAAAAAAAAAACAAAAAGTGTTTTTTTAAATGGTAACTGGCAAATACATGTGTTTGTTTTGTTTCTTGTCCATTGATAGGGACAATGACTTAATGCCTATCGAGGGTGGTCAGCTTTCCAACAACAAAGTGTGCTCTGGACACTCTAGTAACCGTTGTGCGAATAATAGTAATAATAATAATGGTAACAATAACAATAACGTGGGTGGCCCGCTGATGTCCGTGGCGCATCTGAACGGTCAAGTGAGTGGTATCAGTGGTCGGGGGTTGGCTGGTACGTCGTCGTCGTCGTCAGCGTCGTCGCATGGCGGCGGTGTTGCGACATCGTCGAACTCGATAGTGTTTAGCGCGGCCGAGTCTTGCAACAACCCCCTGCCGTCGCTAAGTACAAGTAATCCGTTCAACCACTTTTCGGGGAACATGGACTTGGAATTCGAGCTGTTCCCCAGTTCCACATGGGACTTGGATAGTAGCAGCGGGTGGGCAGATAGGCCCGAATCGAGAGCTAGCGGGCCACCAAATTCACGACCACCTTCCCAGCCAGCCCCGACATCTCCGAGTCCCCAGGGAACGTTCTCCTCTAATTCAGCGGTGGCGCCTCACTGCAGTCCCATGCGCGCGTTCAGCCCGACCTCAGGCAACGCAGCTCACACCTTCAGTAATTCGTTCCCCTTCAGTCCGCTTCAGGAATCACAGACGTCCTCCTTGACCAACAGCGGTGCTAGTAGTGTTAGTGCCAACGGGGCAGCTGCGCTTACCCCGAAACGTCAGGATGAAGGGAAGACTGGATGTTCGGCCGGCAACAACCAATCCGCCATGGATACAAGCGGGAACGCGAGAAACAACTCGAGCAACGTGGCCGGGACCGCTACCACCGCCGGTCAACAACAGACCACCGTCGGGGTGACCGCGACCGTTGTCGAAACTCAGAACAGTGTTGTGTCAACCGAGTCCGGTAGATTGAGAAACTTATTGACCAAGGGCGCTAGTGCTAGTGAGGACAGTCAGGACAATACGAATAACGATTCCGAGAACCAAAATAAGCATAGGATATTAAAGACCTTGTTGAATCAACAAGACGAGGACGATTTTCATCCGGAGCATAATAATAAAGTGCGAACCAGTCCTAGTAACATGCCGAAACCGAGCATGGACCATTCGAAATCTTCGCTTGGAAATAATATGCTGCTACAGGTAAACCAGCTGATCTATGGATCGAACTCGATTTAAAGGACCACTGGTGTCTTCGTTCATCCAATCCGAATAACATTCTTATAGTTTCCATTCTTTGGATTTTCACTGTTACTACTGTTTAACTGTCTAATGGTACATGTTGGAACAAATAGTTTAGAATTTAAAAAATATAAATGGAAATGTGTATAAAAATTTAATTCTCGCTATATCAGCTGTTGGAAGATTCAAACTTTTAGATCTCTCAAATTCCTAAAGAATTTAACTGGTGAAATAATGCTGGTGAAACTTTGGTATGTTTATCTCACTGAACACAGCTTAAATCCAAGAACTTTAAACAGTACCGACCGTGATAATCTAATCGTTTACGCGAACATTTTTTCTTTCTTAATTTGCTCCGCTTCGAGTCAAACACAATCAACCAATACTTATTTTTCCATACTAACAATTTAGTGTTATTGAGATGTGCTGTTTTATAGCTATGAAGTCTATAAAAGAACAGGCCCTAGTAGAAAAATAATTATTGCTTGATTGCGAGAAACGTTTTTCCTTTTCTCCTTTTTTTTTTTAAATAGTTATGATTAGTAACGCGTTATTCCCCAATACTATAATGCGACCAATTTCTTTCAAGTTATTAAATGAGAAAAACGATGACGAGGATGAAGAGGCTCGCGCCGGTTTCAAGAAACGGAACGAACTTTTGCAACAGCTCCTGAAAGACCAAGACGACGAGAGGAAAGTACAAGAGCAACAGGTTAGTGGCTGTAAAATTAGCTTGTTTTAGCACAGTTTTATAGATTTATGGACAAGATTAGTTTTTATGTTCATGGAATCAACTTTAGATAATCTTTTGATCTTGTTGAATGAAATGTTTTCATTTAACACTTTGACGACAGATTACTCGGTAAATTATTTTTCAAATTATAATTACTATATGGTTCATTGAGTAGAAACACAGAATACTGTCATAAAAGGTTAAACACCGACATTAGAAATGCGTGACACCAGTCGTCAAAGTGTTAACGTCTTCCTACAGAGTTATCAAGTTTTTCTTTCCGATTGCATCAATTTGCAAAAAAATCACCGTTGTAATATATTGCTCGTTGAACAGTGCAAGTCACAGAATCGGGAAGAAGATCCTCTTTTGCGAAGTCTTGGCTTTCGGAACACCACGCCATCCCCGTCTCAATCGGGTGACAATGTTGGTCTCGGTGGTTCGACCCAGGTCGGTCAGAAGAGACCCGGCGAGGATGGCGATTTAAACATAGCTGTGAAACGTCCTATGGACGGTTCGCACCAGGTATCCTCATCGGGTACGTCCACCAACACGACCAGTAAACTCTGGGAGAAGAACAAAATGTTGGCTTCGTTGCTAGCTAAACAACCTCCTCAACCAACCACTATCCCACCAATACCTGCATCTGTGATATCGGCAACGCCACAGGTAATTAGAACGATTAATTGTTCCTTATTTGCATTAACACTGTCACAGTGAAAATGGACATACATACGTATGCCTATTATGATTTGTTTTGTGGTGAAAATTAATTCAAATAATGTTTATGTTTGTTGTACAGGATAAGCTGCTGCGCATAGGATTGAAGCCACAACAGCCGTCACAGCAGTCACAATCACAGTCGCAACAGCAGCAACAGCAACAACAACAGCAACAGCAGCAACAACAACAGCAGCAACAACAACAACAGCAACAGCAGCAACCCTGGACGGGTGGTAGCATGCAGTCGGTTGGTGGTAATACGATAACGACAACTGCAACTTCCGCGCGTACTCCTCTCCAAAGCCAGTCGAGACAACTACCTCGTCAAACAACCAATACCTACCTCACTCATATGCTAAGTCAGGTAAATATTGTTTTATTACATTACAAATAGTTGTGTGTAATCTATTATACCCAATTTAAAACACCAGTTATATCAAAAAACTAATTTACCTAGAGTTTACCTAAATCCCAGTCCCACTAAAGATGTCCTTGAGCAAAATATTCTGGAAGTGACGCATGGTACGTCGGAAACACTGTTAGTAGTTAGAACAATTACATGAAATATTACTAATTGTATTAGTGTTATAAAATAGAGATTTTAAGTTTTCCATTAATATTCATATTATTATGTATTGCATCTTTTATAAAAGTGCAATATAATGTAATGTCATCGAGATGTGTATTTGCAAATTCTCTATGTTTATATAGCAACAAAGACCCCAAATGGGTCAGATGGATTCGGAATTTACGGGCAGCGGGGAGTATCGTCATACAAATGCAGATCCAACCGGTTGGGACAATCAGTCATCAGATCCTGATCTTTCCGATATTTTGGATCAAGTGATCGAATTCGTACCAGACGAAGCTATCGCAGGTATAGAATTAAACAATGAATGATTTCCAGCTAGCCATACTAGAATTTCAGAAATTCTAAAGCAATGTTTGGAGTGCAATGCATACTATTGAAATTTAGAAAAAAATTAGGATTTCTTCAGTGGAAAATAAACTAATGAAATAAGAGTAGGGTTTGTTAAATCCCAGTGTGGCAGATAAGGATTAACCATTAAAACAATTGGCGTTTGGACATTTATTTTTAAATTAAAAATAAATAAATGAAAAATGAAAAATAAATTAACATATAGAATTACCTTTTATCATGATAAACGTTGACGTATGGTAAATTAAAAATTTGAAATCCTATTTTCTGGATGGATTTTTTTTGTTTTACCGGTCAATACTGCTTGAATTCACGAGTATCTAAATAATAAAAACCAGCGATTTTTAAAAACATTTCCTAAGTTTCATATATTGTATACATACATATTACATCTTTCGCTGTCACAGCCTAATAATTGTATACCTTTTTACTGTCTTTAACAAATTTTCTGAAGCTAACAATATTCACGAACGGGTGTCTTGCCGCGTGACAGCGAAAGTGGTACCATTATAGACAATAATTTTTATTCAATAGATTCGTCTGCGATAGCAAATCTCTTAGATGCGATCGAAGCACCGCAGAACAACGCGTTGAACGAGAAGATGGCGATTAACGCGATACAAAAGTCGTTGATGTTATTCGAGACTGCCGTAAATCCAACGTCTTCCACCATAACAATTCCTGGCACACCTCCAGCTTACTCCACCACGGTAAGTTGATATCCTTTCGCATTATTTTTTTTTATAACATGCTTGTAATAATCATAATAAGTATCCTTACCACGATCAAACCATTCTGACAGTTCTCACTTGTATAGCTGTTACCATGGCATGTACTTGTTAAAACCTGTTACCTGCTTTGATGTGATTAATAATTACGAGTAATATCATTTCAGTTGGTTACCACACCCGTAACGACGAGCCATAGTTACCAACCACCGCCGATGTATCAACAACAGCCAAGGATGAGGTTGAACACTCAGCCAGGTGTCAGACAAACGACCACTCAATTCACGCAGCAGCAACAATTACAGTTACAACAACAACGTACAAAATTGATACAACAACAACAGCAACAACAATTGAAACAAAGGCTACTGCAACAACAACAGCAACAACAGTTACTTATTCCTTCCAATGCTACAGCTACGGACCAAATTACCACCGGCATTCATAATATTGATAACCTTCTGAACAATACTGTTGCACCAAACGTGTCGTTACAGGTAATTATAGACTTGTTTTTATGTTAATAATATAAGGTAGAACACCGATAGGTCAAATTCGAAGATTAACTATTTGTATCTATAATAATTAAAGCTTCAATGTTTTTTATTATAAGTCTTTTTTTTTTTATTCTGACGTTCAATGTGTTAATTGAAATAATATAGTACATTAAAAAAAAAAATTCTATTTCCAGCGGTCGAGTGTCCCAGATTCGCAAGTGTCTCCAGGTTATGGGGGATCCGTCCAGATGCCTTCCGGTCACCGACTTGCCCACTCGTACTCACATCCTTCAACGTTACCACAGCAGTAAGTGCATGTCGCACGCGATCCTATTATAATTCAAGCAAATAATATTATCGTTATCTAACGGGCGCCTCTTTATTTCTAGCCCCATTGTAAACAATAATTTTAACAGTGGTCAACAAGTGTCCGCCGCAGCTCGACTGTCACCGCATTCTCCCGCTGGTATCTTATCGTTCACTCATCCACAGCCGTTGTCACCACGGGTGACGCAAGTACGTTTCACCAGTTGTTTAATTAGACGAGGCGTCCTAAATGCCTGTCGCGTAGTTTCATTTTTATTTTTAAGTTTTATTTCTGTTCCATCGGAGGAGGGTGCATGCACAACAACTGTACAATTCTGTTTCTCTTTGCTCCATTAATCCCGCGCCTCTTAAGCCGTGTTTACACTAGTAAAAATTTAGTGTTGTATTATCGTTTGTGTATTCTATAATCAACAGACGACATACATTTTGATTAGCGCAGACCCCGGCCTTTAACATTATACTTTTCCGATTCAGACACGAGAATTTTTAATTTCTTCTTCTTCTTTTTTTTTTACGTTTTATGATAAAGGGCAACTATGGTAATACCCCGAGATTATTCAACGTTAACCAGGTGAGATCGCAGCAACAGCCCACCGTGCAGCAGCAGCTGCAGCAACAACAGAGATCGATGCCGTCGCCGGGTACTCCAGCGTCTGCACGACAATCTCCGTTTCCGGCGGAAACCTTTCCTCCACCCACCTCTCCTACAGCCAGCCAATTTCCACCCGGTCCTAATCCTGGCGCTCCGAATCCTTCTGCCCAATATCGGTTGCAACGGACCACGTCTACGCCTTCAGCTACGACTCAGTTGCCAGGTAGGTTCCCTTTACAATTATACTAATTATTTCACATTACCATCGTATTTTACGGTTATTTGTATGTAATATCTAGAGAGAACCATTTTGTTGTCGATACTGCTGATTGTGTAAACGGGTCGCGTTCAATTGCGTGCGAACTACATTATCTTCAACCATGTAAACATGTGATATTCTTTTTTTTTTTCTTTTTTTTTTTCTAATGTGTGTGTAACGTGTAAAATTATGCATTGAGCATTTAGGAAGGTTCGTAGATGACCGACTTATTACGTGTGTAATTAACTTGAAATTTATTTCATATTCTCGCGTAAACTGTACGGGAAATCAGAGACTGTGACCGAGTCGTCGTATTATTATAATATCGGTGTGGTTAAATTTAAATATTTTTAATTTAAAAATATACTATATGTATCTACATGGAACGGAAGGTGTGATTTAAATAAATACTTTCTTAAAGTAGGTAAGTATGGAATCGATTAAAGTATATGTTTCTCTATTTCTGTTCAATATTCGAAGATGGAACGAATACTATTAGATTAGATAGTTGTGCGTATATAGATATTATTAGTCACATTTGTGTCTAAACTTACTTTTTTATCATATTAGTGTTTCAACTACCGTTTATGTTCGTGTTTCTTATCGCAGATTACTCAAGATAATTTTACAAAATTTAGTTTCTTTCTTTTGATTTTTTAAAAGTATTACCGTTCAAATTGTAACTTCAGTACCTTCTTATACACTTAAAGTATTTAATAGATCAAGTATAAATATTATACCGTCCGGAAAATTCCTGTTGTTTTCAAAGTTCAAAAATTTTCTATAAATTCATTTGTTTTAAAAATAAAAATTAGATCATTGAGGAACCCATATTAAAATTAAGAAATAAGCATAAATAACTTATAAGTGATACTGCTATTGATCAAAATATAATGTCAGTGTTTTATGTATGAGTTAAAGAATAGTAATGATAACATAAATTTTAAGATCAATTTCAGCATCCAATAGTTCAAAGCACTTTAGATCATACAGATTTTTTATAGTATCTGCGATTCTATAATGTACACTCGCGATCAAATCAGCGATATAGGGGAAGCAAGAATTCTTAAAATTCTGATTTTGACTATATTAATATTTAAAGTAATTTAGAAAAAAAAATATAATTTCTAATTAATATTAAATTTGCTACATAACTGAAAAGTACGAATAACAAAGTAAATATTAGGTAATTCAATTTTTCCCACGTAGATGTTTATACACAAGTGGTGGGAGGCCATTGACGTATACGTATATATGAGGCCTGCTCCCTTGTATCGTCATTCTCCCAAGGGAAACCTAGGGGGAAACCCGGGAATGAGAGGCATCGCTATTTTCTCCATAGGAGCTTGATTTGATCGTGAATGTACTCGAATGACAAATACATCCACTCAAATGAAACGTTTCTTTATTATTCAATAAAGATGTAATAAATTTGAAGCAACATGAACTTTCCGTACAACCTAATTCTCCGTTATTTTCAATACATCGTTCATAAAATGAACTAGCATCATAAAAACTGTACCGCATAATCAAACATACATATAGGAAATGTTAAAAGCGTGTTAATTTCGATGAGACCGCGTCGAAGCATGGAAGGAAGCATAGAGAATAAAAAAAGAAAAGAAACGTTTGTTAAAAAAGTAAAGAAAAAAGAAAAGAAGTAAGGAAGAAGAAGATAGACACGATTGATGTTGCAGGTGGGGTCGGTTCGCCCCGGCACTACGGCGGAGTGAGTAAGGAACAACCTCTTCTTTCACCTAGTCATCCACATTCGGGTTGCAACCCGGCAACACCGACTCACAATCAACACAACGTAACGAATACCCAACAACACTTCTCCAACCAACAACATTCTTCTATGATATACCACACGACCGCCAATACTATCAACACAGCTGACATGCAGAACAATCAGTTCTGTTACGATCGGACGTCTGTTCCACTCTATTCGTCAGGGCCTGGGGACACGCAGGATGCCAGGCCTCTGCCTCCCGGTAATCCTGTCAATCACCAATTGGGTGGTAAGTCATGTGACCAGTTAATGTCATGTGACCATCACTTCGTCATCATTACACCCCTACCCTCGTACGACCCCCTTTTTGTATCTAAACAACCTCGTATCACGAGACCTACCGCAAAAATGGCATGAGACATTGTTTGGTACATGGAAGCACATCATTCTATCACCATCCACCACCCCCTCATCGATGTGTACTATCTCAATCATGTAAATACGATGATCGTCTTATCAATGTATCTTACCCCTTCATTAGGCCCTGCAAATCTTCATTTGTGTCTAATTATGGGAAAATGGTACGTATGTTACGTGACTAATCAGACCCTAATGGGACACCACGTGATCGTATTAAAATCACTCCAAATCATCTTGTATTCGATCTCCATCTCGTATCATTGCTTTGGCCTACGAGTCATAATGGTCGCTTTCGAATTTCTTTAAAATTGATAGTTTACCATTTTGCAGAGTGTCTATTTATCAGATCTCATATTTTGCTCAAATCAGAGCTTTTCATTGGATAACACTTATGGATCGGTAGATCAGCATCATTATCATCATCATCATCATCATCATGGTTTCCCTGCAGTTGTCATTCTACCATGCACCTTATAAGAAGACGCAGAGTAGCGTATCCTGTCGAAATAGCGCTAAATGTTGCATGGTGCTTTTGTTCACAGTTTGAAATTTGCCTATCATCGTAATCATTCCCATGGAATGTACTCTTCGCTCATTGTACGTAGCGAGTCGAGAAATGCTGATCCTTTCAATTTTGTTTAAAAGATACAAACGTGTTTATCGCGAAGGATAATTGCAATGTTTAAATAATTTATATTTGTCAAAAATTCTAAAAAATTTCACTTTAATTGTATAATAATTTTAATTTAAATTATTAAGCACCATGTTATAGCCCTGGGTCCCACTTTCGAGAGGGCCCCGTACTAAACCTTCCATTTACTATATCAAAAAATATAGAACCAATGTTTGTTCTCCTTTTGTACCTTCTCCTTACGATTAAATGCTATTTGATTTTATTTAGTATAAATTGAATTTTTAAACCAAATTTATCGACCAAAAGGGGGCCCTGAAATCTTCGTCTCATCTGATGGCACCTTTGAATCTTTTAAACGTAAAAAGGAACATTTATCCATTAGTTTGTGAACTAACTTCAACTTCATGCTCTCTCTCATTAGGTATTCTTTTCATTTTGTAAATAACAAGCAGTCATTGTTTCTAACCATCACAAAATTAATTTGTTAAGCCATCTGCTTGTCGAGACAAGCCCATCTTCATTGTATACGTGTAATAAAAAAAAGAGCCTTGTGTCTCCGGAAGAAATCGATTCACACCTGTGCTTTCCTAAGAATCGTGACATTTAACATAGTACAATTTCATTCCCCATGTACGACACACACTTTCTTTCACACTAATTTTCAGCGATACGAACACGATGTTCGATTCTGCACTCTCTACTTCTTGTTACAATTAGTGATAGAGAGACTACACTTGTTCTTTTTTTTTTATGGTGATTGTAGACACCGATGTACTTATGTAATGACATTAGTAGATAAGTCACGTAGGAGAGACTTTCCTTTGTATCATATCTTTCTTTAGGTACCTTTCTTATGATCCGTATGCGTTAAGATCACTGTATTACTTAAGGTGGACTGGAAACGGAAGCGGGCAAACTTTGTTGATTACATAATGATATATGTATTGAGAATTTTGACAATATACGTAGGATTTGTAAATTTGGTAGTACGCAAGGTAGCCTAATTATTGCAATTGATTACAAGTAGTGTGATTATTGTAGTTGTTCATTTATCGTTATATAAATGATTTTCTAAAGTCCATATGAATTTTAAAATTGTGATAACAATTATTGGACCCGCGACATTGACGCAAGTACATAGATGGGTTGGCACCTCCTTATCATTTTAAAATTCGAAGATTTTAAAATTCTAAAATTCCGATGTTCTAATATTTTAATGTTCTAAAATTTCAAGGTCCTAACATTCTGTGGACTTGGCTTAACATATTTAAAACAGTTAGAATAGTCGTAGTAGTATTCGGAATTCCCTTGCCATTTTCATTTCTGAATTATTTCATTAAATTCAATTTGTAGTATTAGTTATTAATAATTAACATGGCAGCGAATGTGTTAATTTAGAAATTAGGCCCATTAATCATTCAATAATTAGCGGTAGTTCACATCCCCGCAATATTTTACATTTTAACGACGAATTGCCCATTTCCGTTTCAGAACATGTTCGCACTGTTTAGTGATTACCCTCCGGCACTTCCGGAACACGTAAATTAGCATCACTATCACTTGCACCACATATATGAAATTTGTGTTATAATAGCTAATACATACGTACTGCTGTTTCCATGTAAGACTGAATTTCTTGTACAATCGTGGTCTAACAATAATAAGGAGGAGTATTGCTATTTGAACGCTTAGAATACAATCCCTCGTTGTATCTTAATATTTTAAATAATCAATATGTTTTTGCAATTATTATTATTATTATTATTATTATTATTATTATTATTATTATTATTGTAAGATTTAAACTTATTTAAACAATGTTGAACATTTACTTAAAACTTTGAATTTATAAATCCAAGTGATACGTTTAAAAATATTTTATGTATAATGTTACGAAAATATTTTTAAACAATACTTGCATCTCTTTTGAATGTAAAGAATGATATTTAGAAAATTCAAGAATTCAGTATTCGCACGAAAAGCGTTAATATCCTTTATCATATTTCTCTTTTAATTTCGTGTACTCACTTTATGTTTTTAATTTTTTATACGCTTGTTGTATCACGCAATTTCATTACGTTTTCTTTTCTCTTTGTGTTATCGTGTTATTAATCTTCGATCAAGTGGCAATTTTGTTGTACTAATTATTTTATGTTTGCGAATTATTCTATCGGTGTTAATTTATAATTGGAGCATGATCAACACAGACAATCAATTCTTTATTTTTTTCATACAATTGAATTTCATAAAATTACCAATTATTTTATCATTTTTAAATTTCAGTATGCACATTTTACGAATGTAGATGCATTAATTCTTTAGTTTATATATTTTCGAAATGATATATGATAAAAAGAAATTTCTGAGATGTAACAAGCACGATAATTTAAGAAAGATAAATATTTTTTTTTTTTCAAGACAATTGCATTAACAAATAAATGCTATCGATAGAAATAGTTCTACATATATAATTATGTTAAGATAAGTACAGAATGTAATTAGTCCACTTTAATCATTCTCCAATCTAAATGGTCATCCGTATAACGAACCAGGTTCGCCGTTTAAGTCCACAATGTTAAAATAACAAAAAGAAAAGGTCTTACTAACAAAAACGCATTTATCATGTACGAAGTGCATCGAGCTTTTGTGATTAATCATCGTCACTAAACGCAGTGTTAAGCATTGTCGAGCACAGTGTACATATTAATGTCTGTCAAATCTCTGTCTTGTTTTTTTTTTTCATTTTTTTTTTTTAAGGCAAAATGTGTTTCAAAGGTTTTGGGATGTTTCAGGAGTTAACCGAACAATTTTTTCAGCATGGTTTAGTAGGTCATTTCGAATAAGAAGGATGATGTGTGCTACAAGTCCTGATCTATTCATTATTAATTTATTTCACCTTTTAACTGGGAATGACGAGATAACTCGTCAATGGAAAATGCTTCTCTAGTCGGGTAGACGAGTTAATTCGTCATAAAATTTTGAAGACAATTCATGTAAATTTAAACTCGATACATCTTCAAGCTTCTAATTGGGCATGACGAGTTAACTCGTCATATAACATTTGACAGAATATGCTTTCGGTAAGTTAGCTACCCCGTTAAGAAGTTAACAAAAAAAGAGAAGATTATACGCGCACGTAGTTGTAATCGAACAATAGTTCTATATTTTTTAAATGTTTTTACTTATATTTCATAATCAAGTAATTGATAAAAGAAGAACAATCACTCTGTTATCATAACGCGCACGTAGAACTCTCTTTTCCTCCAAATAAATCAAGATCCATAGTATACATAGCTTTTTTTCGCTCAATGATTTGCTAAATATGTTGGAGAAATTGTTTTATTAACTTTTGAAACACCACGTATATGTGATCGAGCGATCCAAAGCTTCGTCTCAAAAAAAGTGTTTTATTTATTTATTTAATTTTTTTCTTCAATTTCTGTGTCTTTTCATCTAAGGATTTCATCGTGCTTTAACCCTTGCACTACTACGGACGACTATAATCATTTGCCATGAAGCAAAGCATTTCTATTTCAAAACAGCAGATATGCAATACAAATTGTTATATTACAATTCAAAACCAAATAGCTGTGCTAAAAAATTTCTTATTGCAAATGAAATTTTATGAAAAAAATAATTTTATTCACATTTAGCTGTTACACTAGGTAATTTAACCCTTCCGACCAAACATTTTATACGGACACAGAAAATTTTGATAATAATATTAAATTATCAGATCGGGTCGGATCTGGCGGGACTCCGAAAGATTGTCCTGCACATACATTTTGTTCGGGCACTCGTAATTTCGGGATCCAAACAGGACACGAGACCCAAAATTCAATCACACATACACTTTCATACTTTAAAATTTAAGGTAAGTCTGAGAAACCATGCCCCCAATGCAGAGTTGACTCCCGAATTGAGTTTCGAGATGATTTTTGGTCCCGAATTTGCAGGTACCCGAACAAATTTATGTGCAGGACAAATTGTGGAGATCCCGCTTGAACTTGAGTTACTGATTATCTATATCTCAGTTCTAAAATTTCGTAAAATAAACTTGAAACAATCTTATTAATCAAAATTTATTATATACAGGGTATTAAAAAATTCCCTGAAGATCTCTACACCGTTGGATAGATCACGAAAAATCGAAGCGAAAAGTTCTGTAGCATTTTTCAATGGGATCAGTAATTTAGCCACATTTCGTTGTTGAAAATTGACCAATCAGCGCGTAGCTTGAGTGGCCAGACCCGCGGAGTAGGGGACTAGCCTCCTCTGCTGCCGCCGAGCCTCGCCGTCGAAGCAAACGGAGACTCCGATTCCGTGTAGTCTCCTACTCCGCATATCTTGCCACTGAAGCTGCGCGTTGATTGGTCAATTTTCAACAACGAAATGTGGCTAAACTACTGATTCGATCGAAAAATGCTACAGAACTTTTCGCTTTGATTTTTCGTGATCTATCCAACGGCGTAGAGATCTTCAGGGAATTTTTTAACACTCTATATACCGTATAAAAATTCATGTCAGAGGGGTTGATATAAAATTATACAATTCCTCGCTGAGATGACTGTAGTTAAAGGGTTAAAGATCACGATAGATCCATACGAAGAAATGTTCCGAATCAAAAGGAACGCATTTATTACGAGATAAGTCGTAATCTATCCGATGTTACTGCAATATTATTGTAAATACCGCATTTTGTAATAAAGCATTCATCCTGTACCTTTGACTAACTTGTACGTAAACGGCTTGCACAATAAAACACACGATCTCCGATTAAATCACTCGAGGTACTGTTTATCGTTGGTATTTCGTTAGAAGCAAAAGCGGATCGTTATCTGTTATTTGGATACTAGAAATGACGGGATGTTTGTTTCGTTTTGTCACAGGAAATGCCAGCAGCACGTCCGAGTTCGTGAGGCAAGAATTGAGAGCGATCGTTGGCGCAAGAACGCAACAACAACAACAACAACAAAGGGTACCTAACAACATTCAAAATAACCTTTCTGGTCAAGTATCTCAGGATGATCTTGATGCACTTGGTCTGACGTACGAGATGTCTCCTGCAGGTACGTAATTTAAACAAAAAGAAAAGAAAAAAAGAAAATCCTTTCATCCTTTTTATAATAATACTTGCGCATTAATAGAAAGGGTTAAGAGTAGCGAGACAGAAATTACTTTGTACATAATCCTTTTTTTTTTTCAATTTCATTTAAATTTTTCGAAAATGAAAGGACATCGGTTGCGTTAAGACAGAAATACCGTCGACTATTTGTTAGTTGGATTAATTAAACTAATGGGAGGATTGTTTATTGATTTCAAGTTACTAGAGCTGTTACTTTAAGATACCCGGGTACCCATCGTATATAAACTGCATCCTCTGTAAGAGAAGTTGAAGTTAACAGAAGGAAAAGGGGACAGCAGTTGTGGTCGCTGACTATTTTTCTACTATGCGAACTGAGGAGGGGGCTCCTATGTACCCGAGTATTTTAAAGCAAGAGCTCTACTCGATACTAACCAGATTTCACGTTCTCTTCTTGTATATTGTATAGCATTGCGAAGCTCGGTTAGTTCTCTCAATTCTCGGCTTGTAAATAAAGTATCTGTGAGATTCTGAAAGCTGTGAAAAAGTATTACAGGGATTCTGCTAGCATTCGTATTCATTTTTCTGTGTATACTGTAACAAATTTCAAGAATCATTCGTTTAACTTGTTCATGTTTATCATTTCGTACGATGCAAGAATTGTAAGGCTTATCGTAGCAGATTATTTGTTAATGCATTGAAATTTGTTACTAAATTAAAAATACTGAGAAAACATTACAATTATAATGGTCAAATGATACAATTGTAGAGCAGTAAATGATGCTAAAAGAACTGCTTTCCTTTTTTTTATTTATAATTTAAAGCATAACTTCACCGTATATTCGACTGACATTTGTAAGAAAGATGTTTGAAAATTTTCAACTCGACTGTCAAATTTGATCAACAACTTCGCGTCGATTTTGTTCTGAATTTCGCGAATAATTTTCGAACATACGAAGATGGAATTGCAACCTTAATTTCGTCTCGTTGTCTCCTGTAAATGTGCCATAAATTCGCGATTACATTTCGCTTCCAGACACGTAAAATAACAATGCAAACTTTAATCTGAGAATAGTTTTATTCGAAAAATCAGAGAATCGAGTCTCTGATTCGCGAAAAATAATTTTCAAGAGGTTTGCCCGACACACTAGTCTGCTTCTTGTAAGAAAACGCATTATTTGTAATAAAAGACTGGTGGTAACGCCTACTGTTACAATGTCCTAACTAGGTGAGGCTGTGGTTAGCGATGGCCCTGCAAAGAGCTGGGCCATTGGGAGTGCCGGAGGTGCCCCCTCGTCCTCCAGGGTAAGACCCTTCCGACAATTACTTTTACGTATATATATTATTATATATTTACTTATTTACTTTATCTATTTATTTATCATTATTTATTTTATTTATTTCTTTTTTTTTTTTTGTCATTTGATTTTGTATGCGATGTCTTCCCTTCTTCGCTTGGCTTCAGAACTTATTGTGCACGAAATGTTTAATGATTATATTTATATACATACATATTATATTTTTATTTCTTTCTCTGTCTCTACGCACTGAGCGTAAAACTTGTAGGGGGTATTTTAGCGCTCTCTTTGCATGTGTCATTTTTGACGTTTACTATGTAATATCGTTCATTTATAATCTTATTTAGACGTAGCTGCGTTCGATACACGCGTGTGTACTATCTGACTCGTGAAACAGTATTTCTCAGGCAACTTTTACTTTTATTTTCTTTATCGTTTCCTTTCTTTCTCAACTGGATCAACTTATCTTGATAGATCATTCTGAAATTTATACGATGGACAGCTGCGTGGACGTAGAAAGGATACACCAAGCCACCTTGTTTTATGACTTTCCTTCACTTTTTCCACCTTCACTTGCTGCAATTAAAGATCGCAGATTATCGAGATACGCTACGGTTCAAAAATTTCATCACAATACAAGTGAAAGTAACAATAGAAAAAAAAGGAATGATTGTGTTATAAATCAGAATATTATTTTAAACTGGAGGAACGTGGTAATTTGTTTAATCCAGAACAATATTTAGAATCTTATACAACAATATGTAAATTCTATTTACAGAAATCTATCAATAATTTTACTTTTAATTAAAAAGTTATTACATATATTAATCCTTCGTGAATAAAATTCATAAAATTTTTTTAAGTACCTTATCGCGTTAGTCATATAATTTAGTTTATTACAAATTGTTGTTTATTCAACTATTTATGTTGGATTTATTTTGGGTTTGTTTCATTTTATCCTATTTCTTCATTTCGTGTTTTTTTCTTTTTATTGTTGTCTTTATATTCTCGAATCATTAATGTACAGTATCGGGCAAAGTAGGCTTCTCGAGGGAAAATGGCGATATAGGAGGAACAAGAATTCTCTAAATTAAATATAAAGTGATTTAAAAACAAAATAATATTTTATTCTTAACTATTCGATATTACAAAATTCAGTATATAACTGAATAGTACGAATAACCAAATAAATATTCAAATCTTGCCGCATAAACGTTATACGCGAGTGGTAGAAGGCCACAGACCTATACAGGGGTTTCCTCGCCTACGTGGTCATTGTTCTCGGGAACGTCTAGGGGTTGAGGTGGAAACCAGGGAAAGGGGTGATTTACGGTGAGGGCCAGAACTGACGAGGTGTATACGCGCGCAAAAGGGGGGGAGGGGGTGTCACCACTTACCGTAGAGAAGCCTATCGTGCTCGATGCTGTACAAAAGGCGTTTAATGATGTATTTATCTTTGATAATAAAAAGCTTTAAAGGTTTCAAAATTTTATACGTATTTCAGGTCGAAAGGATTAAATAAACAAATAATGAAGTACAGATTAACATAATAATTACTACGTCACAAATAAAAAAAATGTTAAGTATCAGTTAGGTTTATTAAAAATAAAATTACTGCTTGATGTGATTTTTAATGAACTTTTAATAAGATTAAGTTTCTTGGGCCTGGTATATCGTTAATCTGTCCACGTTGAAAAAACAAAATTGTAGTAGATTTATTTTTTCTAAATGAACTTTTAATTATACCCGAATTTTACGGTAATCCGTGGAATATTTTCGGAAGTTTTACACTCAGTGGCAGAAATCGCAGATTTTCGTTTTTTTTTTTCTTTTTTTATATGTAACTATGTCAGATCGGCTAATATAATTATCACAAAATGAAACGAGTATTCTCGAAATAAATCTCGTAAAAGACTAATTTTCTTATTTTTTTTATTCTGTTAGATTGTATTAATTGCAAGTAACCATGCAAGTATTTCTTGTTGTTCGCGCATAAGACTAATGCAATGAATGAAATTTTTCATCTTTTTCAAAGAGAATTTTTCATTTTAGACAGCGCGGTATATTTTGTCAGTTGATTAATGGTTTCCTGCACTCGTTCTTGTAGTGTACCATTTTAAAATGATATACTTATCAGGTATGAAGTTTTTTATATCTAAAAAATTTAAATCGGTGTTTTCTTGTCGGAATATCCTTAATTACATTGTTGCTGGAGTGATCTTTCGGTGCTGTTATTCTTTACATTTATAAAAAGGAATTCTCTTATCGTTGCATCGAGCGTAAAAAGAAATGTATCCTCTTTATTCTACAGGGTGATGGTGCCGTTAAGCTTCAGCTCATTTCGAAGTAATCAGTATTAATCACACTGGCATTGTTGTATCGTGTAACGTACATTTAGTATTGTAATGCTTTTTCACAGTGAGCCAAATAGAAAGCTAAGCGGATAGAGCTCTTTTTTTTTTTACTATCTCTTTTCGTAAGCTGATTGCTCTCGTTGCATGAGGCAGAACTGTGTCAATTCCTCGCCGATGAACCGGAAGTGCGTCCAAGAAAACGCAACGGGCTCGAATAGACGAATCGTTTTAGAATACCAACCGATTTGGTATAGAAATTTTTATATTATTATTCATAATTTTCAAACTTTAACGAGTTTCGTAGGTGTGACTTAAAATTAACCCGGCCACGTCGCTGGAGTTTCGAGAATGCAAACAATTCTAATTTTCAAATTTAAGCTTTCAATTTGCTATTTTATATCATTAATATCGTAGTAATGCTATTTAAAATTTGTGTGACAGGCGTCGGCTATTGCTGATCCTCGTGGCAGTCAATGTGTTAAAAATACTACGTTTATCGAATATAGCTCTGAATATTTTCATTAAACCGACTTTGGTAAATCGACTGTCAGATTATCTGTCAATTCGAGTGTTGCTGACAGGCGGTGATTAATGTATCATGAAGTATTTAAAATTATAATTTTCGATTGGTAGTGAATGACTGATCTGACATGAATTAACTCGTTCAACTCGACGTTGATTTCAATGCAAATTATCATGCTGTTGAAACTTGACTAATTCATCATATTCTGAACCTTAGTATTTCTCTTTCAATTAAAAACAATGTGCACATCATCTTAATCTTTTAATTATCATTATTTTCTTTTTGTATAAAGTGTTTGATGTTATTAAAAATAATAATAATAAAATTGAAGCTCTTATTTGCTTTTTACTGTACGAAATTCAACATTCTAATAATGACTCTCATTAGAAGTGTACGAGAATCCGAAAATATCGAATACCCGATACCCGGACGGGTATCAGGAATTGTTTTGGTCGACGCAAAATAAATTAGATGCAGTTTATCGTGAATAATAAAGTTCGTCCCTAAAGTTCTTCAAACTTTGGGAATCTTGAGTCAAAATATAATTCTCGACCCGTTCGAGTATCGGGTACCCGAAATTTTCGGATTCTCATACAGGGTGTCCCAGAACTGGGGTAGGACCCGTGGCGCGCTCTGATTGGCCAGTGTTTTTCGTTAATAACTCGAAAACGAAGCCTTAACCAACATTTTGGCAAAGGAAAAAGTTGTTTAGAATGACCTCACCAATCATCCCTCCACGGGTCCTACCCCAGTTCTGGGACACCCTGTATATCTATCCTTCCGGGAACTCGGATCGACTCGAGTATCGGGTACCCGAAATTGTCGGATTTTCGCACACCTCTACCTTCATTCATAATAAAATTCCATCTTGAAATTTACTAAAGAATCTATATTTCTTCAATTTTATTTTTGAAATTATATTGTAACTTGGAAATTATAATAAAGACGAAAAGTTATCAAATATTTTCTACTTTACATAAGAAAAAAGGTTTGTAAAATGATACAAGTTAAATGACAAAAACAAAACCTGTAATGTTATCGCCTACTGTGAGTTGAACTTGTTAATGGCATTCAGCAATCGACGATTAATGTAAACGATTAATATTATCGTGTTCGCGATCAATGACAATTATTACTTGTAAAATCTAATATATATGTTTCTCTTTCTTATTTGCATACTAGTTGAAAGATCGAGCCTGCGTAAGCTAAAGGAAGCAAGCAAGCCTGACAATCTTTCAACGCCACGCGATGTTCGTAATGTAGTAGCTTTTTAACAGTCTGCAAAATAACTGCTTTTTTTTAAGAAGAAGAAGAAAGAAAAGATAGAAACGGAAACAAGAATTCCATTTCTTTCTTCGTTCGTGGTCTGTCGTTTGCTAAGGTTGTCGTGAAATCACGACGTCCAAATTGATTATCTCTTTCTCTTCCTTTTTTTTTTGTTTAATGTCATTAGATTAGCGGCCTTTGGTGTGCATTGGAACATTGGATGTGTAGCGAACATATGTGGCTTCAGTATAGTTTCTCTTTTTGAATTTTGACTTTGCGTTTGCCTCCGCTGGAGCATTTTTATTTTAATTTTCTTTTTTTTTTTTATTAGGAACTGTACCGCGATCGACTCGACGTCGAGAACTTGTCAAAGAGTTCCTCCTTTTCATTCCGTTCGTTGATCTTAGAAAGAACAACGAAATACTGTGAATATTTAAAATTTTCAGACAGAAATTCATTCATATTTTCAAAGCATTTTTATAATATAATACAAGTTTGAAGAATACAAGTAAGTACATTTAAAAAAGCATAACTTGAAAGGAAATATTTCCAATCTAATAAATTCATATTGGCTCGTTATTAAACAAATTGCTTTTAATTTCATTTTTTATTTAGAATAAATATACAAAAGTTTTGAATATTCACAGTGCATCAGTTCCAACATGCAGTGTCCCGATTTCGGATTTAATATAAAATAATCAGAATGTTGGTAATGTTGATCAAATAATAAATTTCGAAATACAAAACTTTTTAATAGGCGTGTCACAGTAAAATTTCTGAATACCATAGAATTTAGTATGTACTTAAAATGTATATCAAATAATTTGAATTAAATCAAAATTAATTTTTAATAAATCTTATTTAATCAGATTTATGAATAATTTTGATAAACACATAAAGTATGGTATTTAACGTTCGTTATTTCTTCTTGTTATTATTTATTCAAATACAGTTAGCAATATAAATATATATTTGTCGTTAATGTTATAAAAATAAAATAAAATTATTCATATACATCCTTACATGTTTCAATAGTCTATTTAACAGCAAAGTCAAATGACACGTTATATAATAATAATAACAGATTGTACAGTATCGAGTAAAATAGGCTTTGCAAAGAAAAATGGCGATGTAGAAGAAAGAGGAATTCTCAAAATCCTAATTTTGACGATATGAATATTAAAAGTGATTTAGAAACCAAAAATACAATTTTTAATTATTATATGCTGTAAAATTTAGTATTTAACTGAAAAGTATGAATAACAAAGTGAATTAATTCAATTTTTTTCGTATAAAGGTTTATATTTATGTAAGTGGCCGGAAACCACAAACCTTTATACACCCCCTCCCCCTCCCACCCAATGGTCATTCCTCGCGGAAAGGCCTCAAGGGCGGGGCGGCGGAAGTCCGGGAAAAGGGAGGCCTACGACGAAGGCCAGGAACTCCGGAACCCGAAAAAGCTTAGGGAGGGAGGACATCACCTTTTTCCCCGGGGAAACCTACTATACTCGATCCTGTGTACATTATATCATAATAATATTAAATTTCAAATACTTATTCAATTAATTATTTATGAAACAACACATTACTCATTTATGATGATGAATTAAATAACGAACTTGACATTTCATATAATTAATATTTTATTAAACCAATCCAAATCTAATACACCTTATAATAATTATGAATTATATCATATAATTTGATACGTTTTTTTCCAATTCAACATTACCTACATTCTGAATTGACGAATCCCTTAAAAAAGAACTGGACTAGTGTCTTTAGCCTTTTGTCTTACGAGCTTCTCACTAGTCAAATAATATTTTCATTAATAAGTCAAGTATTTTCTATAACGTTTTTCTGAAAATCCTGTTTTGTAAATTACAGTTAGAATTTAAATCTAAATAAAAATTTAACACTTAAGCGTAAGACTTGAATGTTTAATCTTACAATTAGAGTGGTTGCAAGCTTGATATCAATCTTTAGAAATAAATTTTAATACTGTAATTAAACTTGACTGAATTCAAAATTAAGTTTTAATTTTCAATTAGAAAATTTATTGATTCAATAAAAGTATATTCCCATTGAAGGTGACCACTGTGGAGTTAACAGACAAAGGGTTAAATTCGCAGTCCTGAAGAGGACACCGTCGAACATTAATGAAATGGAATTCATTTTGCAGACTTCTATGGAGGAAGTGGCTCGAGGTGATCCAAAGGTGAACCAATCGTCGCTGTTACAGAAACTGTTGTCCGAGTGACTGCAGGCCAACGGTTTGCAGACTAAAGGGATCTATGTAATATACGTTTGAAGCTAGAAACGTGAAAAGAAAAAAGTAAGCAACACCGGGTTACATGCGGTGTTGAAGGAAATCTGTGAAGTGAAGAATCGATCCGCGTGTGTACGACGCAGAATATACACCCTATTATACGTAATGGATACTAATTGTATTATATGTAAAACGCCGCAACATACACACACACATACACTCACTAGCACACAGACACACGAACAGATACACACACGAAGTCAGTATTCAGACACGTATCACCAAATACAAAATTGCGAGAAAATTTAGGCCGCTACCCCGTGCTCTCCGTGGCTTTAAACGCGCTGGAACAAGTGAAATTCCAAAGGAATAAGGGCAGTCGTTAAAAGAAAAAAGGAAAAAGTACAGCCAAAAAGGGGCTTTCTAGAAGCGGGTCCAGCGCGTAGATTTTATATCTTGCTCCGAAAGTTCGAAGGACCAAAAAGTTTCCGGTTTCCCGTTTCAGTTGTACCGAACCAGTCTCGATGATCTTGGCAAATTGTCTTCGATTTCGGATAGATGTATCACAGTCTGTAGAACGATCGTGGAGGAGATCGAGCAACTGGATCGTGGATCGGCATCCGTATCTCGAGAGACAAAAGGGGAACGCATTGAATTCGAAAAGATGAAAGAAATAGTTCGCGGAGAGCACGTGGCGTTAAAGTGTGATGCCGATTATTTTATATATATATATAGATATATAAATATAAAAGGATTGAAAGAAAGAAAGAAATGCCTTTCTCGAGGCATCCCAGCTTCGGACGATATTCGAGTATAAATATATATAAATATATAAATATAAATATAAATATATTATATATATGAAAATATAAATATAAATATAAATATAATACCGACACGATTGGACTGACGGTCGCCTGTAATCCGATTGAAAGGGTTGTCACGCGTTTACCGTCAGTATTGTATTTGGTATCACTGAAAGAAACTACGTAGGTACCTCAAAGGTATACTTTACTATACCACTGGCTGTTGAACATAGAACTATTTATAGGTTTAATTATTGTACACAAGAGGATGATGAGAAGATGACGAAGATAAGAAAAAAGCAAATAGAGCACTATTTCACGTATTCTCTTAATTTAATGATCCTTTTTGACTATTACATTTATGAATAATATATTTGTGATTGTAAGAATCTGCAACCAAAATGTGACAAAGAATACTTGTTGTTGTTAATATGATTATAACTATTATTATTATTATTATTATTATTATTATTAATATTATTATTTTATTATTATTATTATTATTATATTATTATATTATTATTATTATTATTGACATCATCATTATCACTATTACCAATATTCTTGTTGCAATTACTATATTATTATAATATTAAGGATTATTATTATTATTATTATTTTATTAATATTATTGTAATAATAATTATTATTATATCGATATTGATATTATTGAACACTTGGAATATGCATATTTCTATTCAATAGTAAGAGTACCTTTATATACATACACATTGTATACAAAGTATGATTGTATAAATGTATATGTATGTATATGTGTATAGAAATTTATATAGCGTGTTATATATAATTAATTTTATCCGATTACTTATATATAATCGGTATATAAATTTACGGTATATTTATATATGTATACGTGTGAAGATGAAAAGGAAAAAAATAAGATAACGGAGATCAATCCTTCTATTTTGCATAGCTCGATAATTCTCCTTTGAGTCTTTAGAAGTGCACACTAAAAATTACTTCTCGAACATCTGTTGTTGCATTGATCGAATCGTGGGAAGGAAGAACAAAAAAAAAACGATATATAGAAATGGAGTGAATCGAGAGAGAGAGATATATATAGAGAGAAAGAGAGTTGGAAAGAAACGTTGGGCAGAAATACGTCTAATTCACGTTTATTCGTATATGTATATACACACGCCGCGCGACACAAAAGAATCGGCGTGTATATATGTATATTATTTACATGCATATGAAAGAAATCTCACGCAAGTGTCTTATTTTTCCAGGATGTTCACCGATGATTATTAAAACGAAAGAAAGATTAAAAAAGAATAAAAAAAAGTGAAAGAAAATGAAGCAAGATGATAAAACGACGAAAGAAAATGTTGGAAGAAATTGCCACGAGGTAAACATGCGCGAGAACCCGTCGATCTCTTCTTTGCGATCGACGAGTTCCGATCGGATCCATGTCGACGATGGACGAGCGATTGGTTCGTTTCCCTCGCGACATAAATCCCCAGCCAGAACACGTTAGAAACTTTGTTCTTTCCTTTTTACGCGACCGTGTCCCCTATAGATCGTAGTTGTTCTTTTTAAAACGCGTTATCTTTTTATACCTAAATTGCACGTGGTTGCATTAGTGTTTGACGATGAATTTTTACTATTCTCCCCGGTGTTCTTTTTTTGTCTGTTTTTATTTTTATTTTTTATTTCTCTTTCTATATGTATGTAGTGTCGTTTTCTTTTTCATTATACATGTACGTTCGCGCGAACGTGATTTTTTTAAAAAACGGGGAGTGATCGTTGATCGGGTTTAACGTGATCGAGCGTTTTGAACGAACGATGAATTCGTTTTCTTTTTTTTTGCTTATTATTACGGTTATTTCTTTTTTTTTTTAGTTGCAATTTTATTGATCGTTTTAGCAACTAATGGATCTTATTATCGAGAAACGTTAACGTTTTTAAAGATACATTTGTTTAGATCGTAAGGATTCGGGGTTGATAAAAGAACGATCGGAAGACAAAATACCCGAGTGAAAGATGTACACGTTACAAGATGAACGAAAGCGAAAGAATGAAGTAGAAGTATATATATATATATATATATTATATACATATAAATGTATATGAATAAAGAAGATAAAAAATGATTTTGTGACACGAAGATATTTTCTCGCGAGGTAGACGATGCGGCATTACTGTGATGACACTGGCCTGCTCATCTCTGTTGCACTTTCTTCCAATTATTCGAGCAGTTACAAAGTTTTGCGTAATATAAAAAAAATGATAAAAAAAAATACCCTGTAAAACACATTCGTGAGGTACTCTGAATATGTACACGTGCATACATAGACATGTATACTCGTTTCGTTAGTCGTGCGTCGCCGTTCACACAATGACGTAATGTGTATGTGTGTGTGTGTGTGTGTGTGGCGGACACGCGCGCCCACGTACGTGTGTATGTATGCCCGCGCGCGTGTGTGTATGTAAATGTATGCTTGCATGTGTATAAGTACGTATGATTTGTGCGTGTGTGTATGTGTGTGCTTACGCGTGCGTGCGCTACAGAATGAATGGTTTCACATGTGTGCGTGCGGCTCTGAGTGTATTTTTTTTCTCTTTGTGCGTGCGTGCGCTCGTAGGCACGCTTGTACGCGTGTGTACGTAGTGAATTACGTCATATAGATAGATCATATGTGCTTTCTAATGATGAATAATTTTATAAATATAAATATAATATCGATCTCTCACGTGTACGTTTATTTTGAAGCGGGTAGCTCGCTTCGAGATCTTTTTATTAAATTGATTTTATTTCAGTGTATTTTATTTTCCTTCAAATACAACGCATGCGGTGTTCTCCTATTTTATTCTTTGGTGGAGCTAAAAAATGAATTAATGATCAAGGAAATTGTAAATTTTTAAACTTGAATTTCTACTACTTTGTTGGGGTCTTTTTTATACTTTAAATGATTCTATTGATGGCCTGGCCTTGCCTCTTAACGTTTATAATCGTAATTAAGACTATAATTATTTAGTTTGTGCCATAATTACCATCAAATTATTCTGGTTTTTAATTTTGGATCAGTACGCGTTCTAAGACCAGTAGCGCCAGCTGGCCATGTGGCGGTTAGAAGAGAAACTAACGAAATAGAAAATTTTCTGTTTCGAAAAACGGAAGATTTTTAACTGTTAATGAAGATAGTTAAATGCTCTAATTATATATAATTTAGTTCAAACGTTAAGAATGAAAATTAACATAAAATAATTTTTAACAAAAAATACAACCGACTTCGAAATGCACTAAAAAGTATGAAGTAATTTCTACTTCATTTATACAAATACCCAACAGCTATTAATAAAACCTATTTACTCGTTAAATCGTATACTAAATACATTTCAACCTTTTCGGAGGCGGCGCAAAATTAAACTTTTTTCTACTAGGAAGATCCTAGTTCAGGCGTCAGCAACCTATCAAATCGTTATTGGCATCATCGTATATTCAGGTATTATTAATTTTGCGTCGCCTCCGAAAAGGTTGAAATGTATTTAGTATACGATTTAACGAGTAAATAGGTTTTATTAATAGCTGTTGGGTATTTGTATAAATGAAGTATTTACATATGTATACTCTGCAAGGCATGTACCGATCGTGATGAAACCTTTCGCATTTAATAAGAGATATTTCCGCGATAATCCCACTTACAAAAATGTATTAAACTTGTTAGCGTTGAAAACTATCGTTATTGCAATTAACCAATAAGAACGGTAAACCACCTTACGGCATCCTTCAAATACTGCTCGTTCCACTAAAAAGTGTGAAATAAAATAATTTTTAACAAAAAATACAACCGACTTCGAAATGCACTAAAAAATATGAAATAATTTCTAAATATATAGAAACAGTAGAGAATCGGCGACTGCATGCTGACTCATGCACCGGTAGAGACACGTAAGCATACGTAGAATTCAATGTAGTAGTAACAATAGTTTTTCACGAATATCTCGGAAACTAAAGCTTTCCGTTAATTAAGCATAAGGAAAAAATTGTTCAGAATCATGCCCCCGACAACATATTAAAAGATCATTGTAATCGTCCAATCTTGAGATTAAAAACTTCATGTATTTTACAATAATAATGAAAAAATGAAAAATTTTTTTTAATGGGACCAATCGGAAGACATACCCTACAAGATGCAAAAGGTTTCGTTCCGAATGGTCCATCCATCTCGGAATAATCGATGAACACACACAGAAAAAAAAAAAAAACATACATACTGATCGAATTGAGTAACCTCCTCCTTTTCGAAGTCGGTTAAAAATTACAGAAATACTTTAACCATCTAGCGATTAACCTCCACGCAGATATTAACAGCATAATTTTACGCACAAATAAAATAAACTTTAAAAGCAAGAGGAAGTAGCATCAGATTTAACAAATATTCTCTGAATTAATGAAATTTAATAAAAAAGAAAAATAATGTAACAGTTTTAATTGCACCACCCTTTCTTTGCAATTTTACATGAGTGATTATTTTTTCATCAATTAAAGTAAAATAGAAGAATGGTATAAATGAATATTTTTAACTGTGAAACTAAGAAACTATTTAATAATCTATAATACTGATAATACTAAAAAGGTGTTTGAAATTTTTTTTGTTAATCCACGAAAAAAGAGATAGATTTACTGGTAAGGTTATGCTCGTAACCTATTAATACAAATTCAGTTTTCATAATTCTTAAGGAAAATATTTTAAAATTTTAATTTAGGCTGAGAATAACTACGTAATTAGCTTGATATTTTGCAAAAAATAAATAATGTTTAAGTAACGGGAAACGGAAATGTATTTAGTGTCATAACTATTATTAAAAGAACTTGTATTTAAAAATTTTACACAGTTTTAAACAGTTTGCGGAGAAAAAGTATTTAGCAACAGCTAGTTATATAACCACCAGATATTAATTAATTTATTGATACAAAAGTTGTCGCAATCAAGGAAAAAGAAAGTAAAAACCATGGCATCTTTAACGCGCATGCGTTTGATAAATAGTAGGGGGATCCTGCAAGAGGAAATATTCGATATTTTTTACCGAAGAAACTCATCTACGACTGTTTTAAAAAAAAGAAAAATGGTGAGTTTGTTGTGTTAAATGTATAAAACAAAATATTAAAGAAGCATCTATTATTGTCTAATAATAAAAAAAATATATATTTAACTTTGTGCAACATTTTTTACTGATGACAGATGTTTTTTAAATATTCCGTGGATAATTAATTATCTTAAACTTACTATCATTCTAATGAATTTTTTATTAGATGTGTAATCTTTATGATTTACGATAAAATGACAAACTTAAAATTATATATTTCATATACAGATAGCACTTCATATTCTTTGGGCGTAACAAGTGGTTGGCGATTAAGAAATTCACGCTTGAAATTATTTGTCGATAATTAAAATCGTAATTTACCAATGAAATAATGTAAATGTTTCTTTTTTGTGCTAAACAATTTGTTTTCTCAAATAATATGTTATGATTGAAAAATGGTCGAAGTATTTTCTGATCCGTATTGATCGGATTTTCTTAATACTAATGTTATCAACTATTTTTAGGGAAAACTTACTAAAGAAGAACGAGACAATGACTTAAAACCATTACTGACAAATGGTTGGTCTGTGCAAGAAAATAGGGATGCTATTTATAAAGAATTCCTATTCAACAATTTTAATCAGGTGTGTCTTAGTTTAAGGACATTAATTGCCTGTTTTTCATTAATCAATGAAAATATATTTCTTTTCTATGTTTTTAGGCCTTTGGTTTTATGACCAGAGTTGCATTACAGGCTGAAAAAATGGATCATCATCCTGAATGGTTCAATGTTTACAATAAAGTAAACATTACCTTATCTTCTCATGATGTGAATGGTCTATCACCAAGGGATATTAAACTTGCAACTTTCATAGACAAAGTTGCTAAAGCAGAGGGAAAGTAAAATTTAAATTGTAGAATAATTGAGCAGATTTTAAGTTGTTTTTCAAAAATAATAATTTTCGTAAAATTAATATATTATGAAAATTATATCACCAATCTATTACATCATAAATATATATGTACTGCACTTATTCTGTTTTATAATTTTAATGAATAAATATATATTCTTCAATTATACAGTACAGTGGTACCTCGACATACGATCTTAATCCGTTCCTGATGTTTGGACTTATACCGAATAGGACGTATACCAAACCAACCTTTCCCATAAGAAGTAATGTAAAAATGATTAATCCGTTCTCGTGTAAAAAAAACTCCTATTGATATTTTAAACACTGTTTAAACAAATGATGCAAAATTCACACAAAAAATGTATGTCGTATACCGAACAAAGTTTATCACGTCCAAACAAGACGTATTCCAAAGCAGACGTATACCGAGGTACCATTGTAACTTAATAATTTTTTAGATTATACACTTATAAAATAATACATCCAAATTCAATGATAAATAGTTTATTCTGAAATAATTTACAATATATAATTATCAAATATCTAAATTAATCATCTATTGAGGTGTTAAAATTACAATAACAATTATTCATCGCTAGCAACACTCTCTTTAGGTTTTTTACCAATGGCCCAAAAGTTTTTAATAGCCCTTGAAACACCAGGGCCATCATTTATAAGTACAAGCAGTCCACAAAGTGTAACTGCTGAAAGGATAAATAACGACAAGTGCAGCACTTTTGGTACTACTGTTCCAACAATAATCGGACGTGCATAGTCTGTAATAATAGCCTCCAAACCCCTATTGGAAGAAAAATGATATTGTACTCAAGTATTATTAATTTATATATTAATACTATATTATCGATGGTATTATTATTTTTTATATTGAAAAATAATAGAGAATTTGGTATATGAAAACATATAAATAAAAACATCATTAACAAATATTCACCAGTGTGTATGCATCACAATTAATACAGACATAATTCCATCAAGAGCAGCATTTTCCATTATTAATGCAGCAGGAATTATGACTGGAAGTGCTGATGAGACAAGTTTTTCGAAAACCCAAAGACGTACATGATCGCTATTAATTGTACTTGCTTTCCGACTCAATTGCAGACCAACAGTTCCAATTACTGGAAACTAAAGACAACATAGCACAAATTTATAGAAAATAAATAACTGAAACGAAAGAGAATAATTCTACAAAATTATTACCTTAGTTCCATTATTCATTACATTAGAATGTAAACATTGTTTAGGATTTGCCAGAGTTGTGGACGTTCTACCAAACTGAGGAAGTTTACATGAATTTGCAAGAAGATTGGTTTTAGATAGTGATTCTGTAAAAATAATATAATGCATGTTGCGATGTCTTATAACTACAAATTCGACATAATCATACACATATAACAAATCAAAATTAATTTTATAAATTATATATTTTGTTTTATTGTGCGTGGAATTTACATTACATTTTTTATTATAATTATTTATAGTTATTTATATTTATTTATAGTATTGAATAAGACTAATAACGAACGACATTGGCTAATAAGGTTATTTCAATGTTATAAAAAAAATAGTCAATTAAGATTATGTAAAAAGCAAAAATTTAAATATCTTTTCAAATCTTATATGCAACTTACCTAGCTGTCTAACTTTGTGGAAGATATTAGAAGCTATTATCTTTTTAACAATCATTTTATAATTGTTAAATACAAGATTTTCCGAAAAAAAGTCTTATTAAAGGAAGGCAATGAACCTCATTCAATTTTTGTGACAACCAAAACTTCCAATTGCAAGCAAGAATATCACTATAAATATGGCTGACGTGGGCTGACGAATCGAGTGTTTTTTGAGCTAACGAATTTATTTTAGTGATTTACTTTTATCCAAACATCATAATTTAACAAAAAATGACTACAAATGTTATTTTGACATATTAATAAGGCAATTTCATAAAGCTACATTTATTAAATAAGCTTCCATAGGCAATAAAGTACATTTTGGATATTTCAACTCATATTTGTAAATTTAGGTATAAACACGAAGAAACAAGTTAAATTGTTTATTAAATATAATCTTACATAATACAAAGTTTTGAACGCTGTTATATTATTTTATCTTTTGATTATTTTTTAAAGCAGAATAAAGCAGTTGCATACTTTGAAGATCGGATTAGTTACTTTCAAAGCGCATGCGCATAAAATTAAATGGAAGATCTTCATTGAAAACGGGGTTGAATTTTCTTCTGTACAAGTATTCGAACCGTCGAGGTTAGTACAGAATTAAATCATAAAATATTTCTATAATCTTATTTGAAATAGATATATTTCTATAACAAAGTGTGTCTTTATAAAACATTAGAATCTTATACGCTTAATATTATTGTAAAATACGTATTGTTTCGCACTTCTACGTTGATCTACTTAACCTAAAGGTATTGTCTTCTTCAGGATGGCTCCAAGATACGAATTAGCTGTTGGTCTCAGCAGAGGCCACAAAACAACCAAAATCCGTGTGGCCAAAAATAAAAATGAGAAGAAAAAGACAGTGTGTGTTTTGCCAGCTAGATTTAAAGGGGTTGGTATATATTATCAGTTAAAGTAAAATCCTAGTATTTATATTGTCATAAGTATGGCAATATATCATTTGTTTGGATACTTATGTGTGACTGAGTATAGTTAATATTGTAAGTATTAATATTTTAACATAATTATCTATTTAATGTAGAGGCAAACTAAACATTCCAAGTTCATCAGAGATTTAATCCGTGAAGTAACTGGACATGCACCTTATGAAAAACGTGCTATGGAACTGTTGAAAGTTTCCAAGGATAAACGTGCATTGAAGTTTTTAAAAAGAAGGGTAAGCACTACAGAAGATATTTGTCTATATTTATTCTACCATTAGTCATCAGTCTACAAATAATATATTTAATAATTTTATAGTTGGGCACACACATTAGGGCCAAAAGGAAACGTGAAGAACTTGGAAATATCCTTGTACAAATGAGAAAAGCAGCTGCTCATCATTAAATGTCCTATTAAACTTTTATATTATATATTAATAAAATATATATATATATATATAAATGTTTCGATTTTATTGTGTATAGGTCTTTGAACTGAAAGCATATCCAGTCCCATAAAATAACCATTCTCTTAGTTAATCTTATGTGTATATACAAAACGTAAAGACGTGCGTCCGTGTCACTTTTCAACTTGAAAACTAGTAGGGTTGGAAATACGCTTTATACACATTAGAAATATCTCGCTGAGTGAGACTAGTTCAAAACGGTTGCGTTTGTGCGTCTAACAATAAGTCAAAACTTACAGAGGTTTCAATTTTTCTATAGAAAATCTATGGGTCGTACATTTTAGCTACGGGATCCCTGATACCCCGGATGTCATAATGTTGGTTTGTAATCACCCGTGCTTCGGGGTCCCTAACACCCAAGCCATGGAACATTGCGCCATCTATATAAAAGCGGCGCAAACTATTCGTTAACTTACCGACTTTCGGAAGTCCAGTCGGTAATTTATTCAATAATTTCCGCCGCTTTTGTATAATGGTCAAACTTCAAAAATACTTAATTCTAGGCGGTCTTCTCAAAATATATGTTTGTCAAATAATTATTCTAATAATTTTTCGGTCTTGTTAAATTATAATCACCGTTCATACGCCATCAGTAATATTCCAAATGACTACCATTTATTTTTAAATTAACCAGAAGAATGGTTATTTTATGGAACTAGATACACTACCAGTCACAGCCGACTCTAGTACTAGCCGTGCTGAAGTAAAAATGGCAACACCGCGGGAGTCCGGTCTGAATATATCAACACCTACCCTACTCTATCTGCCTCCCGGACTCCCAGACTCTCAGCCAATCAACGTCGTCAGACTCCCGACTACAGTAAAACCTGGATAAATGCAACGAAAGAATGCTTGGATAAGTGCAACATCGCTATCCCTTCCAGTTGGGGGGATCCCCCTAGGCGAACCAAGCCGCTCGACGAGGAAACCGTGTAATATGATCCGACCGTAATATCGGTGTGACTAATACTAATTGAACGATAAAACTTTTTTATTTTTAACTTTTTCTTAATGAAACTTTTACTAACGCATTTGTGAGATTTTTCTGATTAAAATGACACCAAACACGATATAGGTTGAATGATATTTATAAGCAATAGTAATAGAATAAACAACATAGAATTGACACCACGACTAAATATAAATGATGTGTACGGACGCAGAATCGGCATGTCGGATAAATACAAAACATGTGTACGGACGCAGAATCGACACCTCGCTTGGATAAATGCAGCATTAAATGCCCAGAATCGCCACCTTGCCTGGATAAATGAAACCTTTGAAACCAAAGCCGACACCGCGACTGGTTTTAATTTCGATCTCTGTTGCTTTTCGCCAACCTTTAACATCAATTTTAGCAAGTAATTATAATTGAAACTATATCGTGTTTGGTAAAATTTTAATCAGAAAAATTTCACCAATGCGTTAGTAAAAGTTTCAATAAAAAAAAGTCAAAAATAAAAAAGTTTTATAGTTGAATTAGTATTAGTCACACTGATATGTTTCGGCTCTTTCCTTTCATCATCGGACCTCTCTCTTTCCGCCACTGTCTGTTCCTTTCTACGTTCACGCTTGGCTGGTCGTCGCGTGTAATCCGAGATTCGACACCTCGCTTGGATAAATGCAACCACTGGGTCCCAATCTTGGTTGCATTTATCCAGGTTTTACTGTACTCTCTGGACTTCACATAACCTCTTTGGTTTCGTTCCAATAATTTCGCTTGTTTCAAGGTTTTTATTAACTTATATACACGTTTATCAATTCTTAAATGTTTCAATTTGATCCAGAGATGGTTTCATTTTGCTTCATACCTAAATTTTCTTGAAACCACTGTAAATATTTCAAATATCATGCTTCACAACACCAAACTACTTTGAGAGTACACAAAATATATATCACATTTATAACAATTTTATACTACCACATCACTTCTATTTGCCATAGTTGCAACGTTTATATATTTATACATAATTAACACAAAATAGTGTATATTACTACAGCTTTTAATTAAAATAGACGTTAATTACAATTCCGAGCACAGGACTCTGTTTTTGAAAATAGGACTCCCGATTGTCACGTGAGCGGTGTTGCCACGTTGTTCAGCATGGCTAGTACTAGAGTCGGCTGTAACTGGGTATATCATCTAGTATATCAGTGCATAGCCGCCGAATCTCCTGGTAACTTTGGTCTAAGTCCATAATAGTTCAAATAATCCAGGATTATAATTACGATAAATATACGATTCCTTGTAGGGTTGTTCCTAGAGGATGCCTGTCAGAGATTCCTTACCCCTCACTGCGTGCAATTTGTTCGTGGTTAATTAAGGATACTGGTATTTACGATTAAAGAAAACTTTTTATTTAGCGTGCGTCTGTACACCACGCCATGTGCGCTTCCCCTCACAGACTCGCCAAATTCTACTCTTGTGCAGAGGTACCAACCTAAAAGAGTAGGCGTACCAACCTCTCGGCGAACCCATGGCAAAGAGCAGGGTTGGTTCATCCGAGCGTTTTCTAGGGTTTTTTACATTTTACAGTATTTTACGGTAAGATACGTTAAAAACGTATAATACCAGATTTGCGAAGAAATAATCACAGGATAGCCTTAATTTATTTAAAAAGATGTATTTATGTTACAGAATACAGAATATAGTCCCCAGAAAATGAACTCCTCTACTAATAAAAATACTTGTGTAAGTAATCGTTGTTCATAATTGGAAAGTGATTTTTTGAGAATATTTACTGACAGTATGTTAAATAAAATATACTTACAATTAGATTATATTTAGATATAATGAAATTTGTTAATAATAAGAAAAAATATGAAATATTTTAAATCAAGACATATCGCAAAAACAACAATACGCAACTGTTTTCCCTTCCTCTTATATTGATAGAAAATTTTTATTTTCTCAACATTTATGGCGAGGCCTGCCGCCAAAACTTCATTTCATGGCTTTATTTTATCTAGAGGGTAAGATATAACTGCGGAACTCTCTGATTTTAATAATAAATAACGTAAATAAATATCTATGGATAACTACGTCTGGTTGGTATCTATAGTACATAACGTTATATAGAGATGGCGCCACTTGGAGTATAATTGTAGCGGATCTAATCTAATCACTACGGTTTTACAGAGAAACACCACGCGACTACCGATCAATGAAACGTTTTTATTTCGCTAGCACGTTTACAGGAGCCCACACATGGGGCGATGCTTTTGTACAAACAGATTCTCTCAGACGCCACGCTTCTTGGAGGGAAGTCCCCGTTGTCGTGTAGAAGATGGCTGCCGCCCGAATGACCTCCGCCTAGGCAAATAGGAGGTATACCACCTCTTTACCCATGGTATGGAGTGGGGAGTGAGAGCCAGAGAGAGGAAGCAAGAGTCTATTACAAATTATATAGAATGACTAACACGTGGTAGAATATCGTTCAATGCAATTGTTTTCATATATGTCTTTATTTGTTGTTGGAAATATATCTTACGTATAATTTTTCATAAAAATTAATGTAATAAATCTAGAGGTAATGATTTCTTTCCTTGACATTTTGAATATACAGTTTTCTGTAATGAATAGTTCAAATGACAGCAAATTTATTGTAGCTGTTAGTGATAATGTCATGTTCCAGAAAATTTAATTCAATTTTTTATCAAATTTAGGTGGCTTCAGAATTTTTCAAACATGACTCGATTCGCTAGAGCTAAAGGATCTAAAGCTTCCAATGAAAGATTACCTAATGACCCTACACCATGGCACGTAATGAAACAACAATTAGTAGAGAATTTATCCACGTCTCAAGGATATTCAGAAAAAACGAAATCCACAAAAGAATTGTTATGTGAAAAGCAAAGTACTTCTGATATTACAAATGACAAAAGTAATTGGGCAGAATTTGAAAACAGTTATGAAAGGAAAAATAATTCGGAAGTCAAAAAAGCCATGAAACGCAAGACACAGTCAAGTATAGTAAAAGAAAATCAAAATGTATCTTCAGATAAACACGATGAAAGTAATGTTAAAGTTAAAAAGAGAAATATTGATGAGGTTGATAGATCTGTGACAGAAGTAAAAGATAAGGATAAAAAAAGTAATAATCAATATAACAATAAAAGTAATAAGCAGAACAAAGTGGATGAGTTGAATAATGAGACAAACAATGTACATGATTCAAAGAACAAAACTAAAGGTATGTTATCTAAACGTCAAAAACGCAATATGAAAAGAAGACAAAACGCAGGATTTGAAACAAGAAATGATAACAATTCTGAGAGTATTAACAATATGAATAATGATAAAAGGGAGGGTATGGGAAATGGTCAAACAAGAAGGTTTGATAAAAGATTTGGGGATCAGTCTACAGATTTTAGAAATGGTCCATATAAATTTGGTATGCAAAAATTGGAAAATAATAAGAAGAAGCAGAAACCTCCTAAAATTCGAGATGATAAAGAACACATAAGAAGGAAACCAGATATAGGCTATACTAAATTAGTAATCAATGGTGTTGAAGTTGAAATTGTAAAGTTTGATGGTTTTCCAGTTAAAAAGGAAGATGCAGATAGATTACATGAATTGAAACAAAAAATGATTATGAAAGGTACATAATATAAGAAGTCTGTTTTGGATATTCTGTATTCTTTAGTTACTGGTGTTAACTTTTGTATTTTATATCTCTTTATAGGAATTCCAGAGAGGGAGATAAATGTAGCCATGAAATTAGAAAGAAGAAAAGCCGAGAAAGCACTGGCAAGAATTAAAAAGTGCGTTTGCTTTCATTGCCGTAAATCAGGACATAATTTGTCTGATTGCCCTGAACTTGGATCTGAACAAGCAGGTACCGGTATCTGCTTTAAATGTGGATCAACAGAACACACACATTTTGAATGCAAAGTAGCTAAACCAACGGAATTTCGATACGCAACTTGTTTCATTTGTCGCGAGCAAGGGCATATTGCTAAACAATGTCCTGATAATCCTAAGGGAGTATATCCTCAAGGAGGTTGTTGTAAAATTTGTGGAGATGTTACACATTTAAAAAAGGATTGTCCAGATTTAATAAAGGAAAGGGAGGAAAATACCGTCACAGTAACCACGATTGCAAATGGTGACATAGAATGTTTGGAAGAAAACAAGAAGATTCTAAATGAAAACAATGATAACAAATCTAAAAAAATAGTGAAATTTTAATACAATGTAATATAACTAACTATAACACGGACATACATGTTTCGTATTATGTAATTGTATTTATGTATATATCTCAATGAGCTAAAGACTTGCAATGTAAACATAAAATTTATTGAAAGATACATGTATTTGACATGTATATACATATACATATTTTCCGTACATATATTTTAATGTTTTCTAAACTACTACGCTGAAAAATCTGATATCAACCAAAACATAATGAATTTTATTACAATTGATATATTCCCTATTTACATCATTATTAGATTTATAAATCAGTACTTTTTATATATTAGTTGTACAATGAAATTGTAAAATTATGTACTCATTTAAATAAATTTTTCTAAATTAAAAAAATAAATTATTTGTTAAAGTTTTATGATATCAGATTTTTTCTATGTACAGAGCGCAAATCATGAAAATATATTTAGATATATGAATATTATCTGTACATAGTCGATTCTTATACATCTACATAGATATAGCTTACAAACCTTTTAATATTATTTAATTTCATATTTTTTATATCTTGTTATACAAATGACACGTAACAAGTAGAAACATACAATTATTTTTTGTTAGTATCATAATTTTGTTTAAATATTTCAAGTTGTTATAATACCATAAAATTATATGTTCTATTCGCATAATTTTTTTCTCATTATTACAATATGTGTTAATAATCTGTACAATTTGAAGTACGAATTTTACGAATATATAATATATATTTATATTTGTATCTATATTACATTTGTCCTTATACTGTACTATGTATAATATATCAATTCACTATATTTTATGTTAATTTCCTACATAAAACTTATGTTTTTATCACTCCTAATGGCAGACAGATAATCTTACTACTGCAGTGATGATTAATTCCGTGCATAATGAAAGGTATGCATCTGTGCTGTTTAAATCTTAAACTATTACATTAGACAACTATATTATTGATACTTCATTCAACTCAATCCCATTTGCCATACCACTAGTTGTTTAAACAATGCTTGGTATTGAGAGTTGAATGTGTAACATTAAAAGTACATAATCGTAATTAAATTAAAAGAATAAATGTAATTTATTGCAACATGTAGCAAAAAAACTTTAATATTATAGTAATTTTGTGATATTATATATCATTATAGACTTGTAAAAAAAGTATATGAAATGTGTTTACGTGAAAATTCTAATGAAATTTTTTTTCTTTTTTTTTTCTTTAGAAAGATCGTTAAAACGTATATAACACAATAAAAGAAAACCATTTCCCAACTTCTTTTAAAAAAAAGAGACCTATCAATATTAACGTCAGAAGAAAAATCGAATTTTACAAACGATTTAAGTAACTTGTTTTTAAGAATAATATATATTTTTCACATCTTTTTATTAGTAGTAATAGTGGACATTTCTAATCCAAATATTTTAAGGTTTCCTTCTTACACTTTTAGTACTTATAAAATTAACAATGAAATATTTGCCTACCGTTGAAAATCTTATTCATAATGCTTAGTATTACTATATTAAACGCATGCAATATAAAAAAAATGATCTAAAGTAACTTGATCATTTTGTTCACGAAGTTATTAAATCCAATTTTATGTTCACTATCCTTTGCCTACTAGAAAAAAACAATATTCTTGGTATTTTATGAAACTTTTTCATGATTGGTTGCATGGATAATTGGACAAATATTCAGTTGAATAAAGAAAGTATAAATAACTTAGAAAATTAAATTTGGATACAAGACGTAGAACAAGATTATATGCAATATCATTGAATAAATAGATCAAATTATGTTCTTCTTACCTCGATTTTGTAATCTGAAAAGAAATCTCAATATTTTTGAATTACAACTGAAAGATTTGGAAACATAAATACGTTTTATATCTTTAGTTAGATATTCGTGTTACAAATCTTAACATCATAATATATTCAACCGTATTATTTTTAAACTTATTTAAAAAAAAATTCAAACTTTTTCTAAAATAGAAACAAATGAGTAACTATAAACTATATTTAATCATATGTAATGTTTAAAAAATTAAATTTTCATGAAGCGTACGTATGTATAGTTATTTTTATATTCATTTATCAATAAAAAAAATTAAGAAATCGATTGAATATATTATGTTCTAATATATTCTGTTATCTTTGGCATGTAACACTTTATCTTGTAATTAAGACAAATTCAGATTAAAGATACTAATAATTCAAGTTGCCAATTTTACAAATTCATTATAGGTCCGCGAAAATCGAAAGCTTTCGACATTAATCTTTTTTTTAGAATGTACCTGCTAGGTAGCTTCAGCTTTATGCGCTGATTCTATAATTTCTTTAAGACAACGACCAAATTCTTCTATTATAAGTCTTTGTGATGTTTCGTCATCGAACATGTTACGTTCTGCTTCATCAGCTTGTGCCATTAAACACTGACAAGTTATTTCTACAACTTTATCAGTCAAAAAGTTGAATGGTTGTCTACAAGAAAAAAAAATTCGATATAAAAGAATCAATTAAAAACAATGTTTTCTGTACTTTTCATTATATAGTATTTTTAAAACATACCTTGCACCAGTATTTGATGTAGCTGGAGGCCTAAAAGCCATTTCTGATATCTGCAGTTTCGCTTTATTTAGAGTAAGTTGCGCTGTTCTTACTTCAGCCGCTTCTGCTAGATCTTTCAAAGATTTCTTTTCTAAATTTGGTTCTTCTACATTACGACATCCTATACATTTACAATTAGCAGAGCATGGAATCTTAGCCTATGAAAAAAAAAAACAAAAGCATTCTATAGCTTAGGAAACAGATCATCACCATAATAGTAATACATAATACACAACAGTATTTAATTTACCTCATAACACTCGCAATAATTCTTCAAACATCCACTTCGTTTACAATTGCAACCTTTGTTATGTCTACGTATATCATCACCAGTTTCACGACCTTTACCAATTTTTGGACGAAAAGCATTTGGATTACGTTCCAAACAAGACTTAATAGCACGTTGTCGCTCTTCTTCATTTCCAAGATTATTAGAACAATTATTACAATTACACATATGACAAAACTCTCCGTTCGCAAAACAATCACAATATCTGTAACAAAATGTGTTAAAAATTCATTACTTTAATTGAAATGCATTTAAAAACCCATTTCATACACCGCAAAACAGCCGTTCAATTATAAAATTTAATTTTCATTAAAGACTGCCATTTTTTAATCGATATAACAAATAAACGAAGAACCATGCCCGATGCTCAATTTTTGAAAATTAAAGAAGCGAAAGAGTATATAAAAATCGAACAAGGTAATACTGTATCTATTACATTGAACTTACAATTTCAAACATTGTGATTTCGTACAGTTACACGGTTTTCTTGGCCTAATACCATTTGGTTCAACACTAGTGTATGATCTTTGAGAACTTCTACTTTCTAGAACGGATCCTACAGATAAACTTCCTGCTGAACTCTGTAAATTTTGCGAAGTGCCCAACAAACTAGGTGCAATTGGTTGAGGTTTAATTTTCACCTCATCTGTGGACTGTAAGAAAGATAAATATCATTTTAAAATTATATATTACAGTTTTTGTTGTTAATCTCATATTTTAAGATTGAATATACAGTATACTAAACCTGTTGGATGTATTGAGCTGGTAAAACCACAATATTTCCCACATTTGAATTCGTTGAAATAACAGCTTGTCCAGATGCTAATTGACTCAAAGCAGATGCTGGAATAGCAACTGCATTTTTCGATTGATTACCTACTGTTGCAGTTGCAGGAATTAATAATCTTTGACCACTTCCTGATAATGTAGCCTTAGGTGCAACAGTTCTTAATGACTGATTGCTAGTATTCAATGGAACTACCTGTATTCGATTAGAAAGTGTAATATGTAATAAATTAATATTATTTATTAATGATAGCATAATGTATTATTGTTACAAACTTTGACGATCTGTTGTCCTCCTATTTTCTGACCAACCCCAACAGTTTGCAATGTTGTTTGCGACTTTGTTTTACCCACAGTAACAACATTTGTAGTTCCAGATGATGGTGTACTAACTAATCTCACATATTGCACCTTAAAAATATTTATAATTGAATATCACTACTATCAACGATAAAAATAAATATAGTACACGGTTATTCTGTTTTATTTAAAATATATTACTTGTCTTCCAGGCATTTGTATTTGATGTACTTGATTAGATCCAGTAACAATGTTCTGGCTAGCTGGTATTCTAATAACTTGGCCACTTCCAAGAACAGTTCCAGGTTTTAAAGAGCTCTAAAAACATTATATTATTAATATAAAGTCAAAAAACTAAAAGAAAACAATCAATACGTCACAAAAACTTACCTGTCTTATAATTACTTTTTGTGGACTTTGTTGCACAGATGATTTATTACATGAAAATGTTGACTGCTGATTCGAAAGTGACGAAGTTTTAACTTGTGTATTTATAACTGGTGCTGGTAATATCTTGGTAGGCGATTTGATTGTATTACTTGAAACTATAGTCATTTTAGAAGGCTGAGAACTTGATGACTGCACTAATTTATTTACAATTATTCCCTTTGACAATAATAAAAATATATTTTATATTTCTGTTATTTATACAAAATTTGTTCTAATAGAAATTTAAAAAAATGTTCTATTACTTACTTGCTTTTGTGGTGTTGAAGGTAAGATATGTTGAACTTTACTAGTAGAAAGTAGTCCCATTTGTTGTGCTTGTGCCAATGTTATAGTTTTAGTCGGGTTTGTAACTTCTTGACTTGATGTATTGTTATTTAAAAATTTTATTGCTTGTTGATTTTCATTTTGAGAATTAGTTATAAGGACTTGTCCTGATTGTGCTTGATTTCCAGCTAATATCATTTTTGTATATACCTACAATAATTTTAATTATAAAATATGTATACAGTAATCAATTTAGTTAAACAATATTTTATTAAAAATTTTACATTTCGATTTTGAGAAGTGCTCTGTGCAGTTCGTTTTATAGCTGACTGGGCTGTTTTTGAATTATGCACATTCCCTAATGTGATACTTCCAGAGTGACTGGTTGCCATTAGAGGCTTATTGGGTTGTGCTGATCTCAATTGAACTATGTTACCATCTGCAGATTTTGCTGTTATAAGGGTTTGAGCTAATGACTGTAATTGACCAGCTGATGCTGTTGATGGATGTGAAATTTTTAGAATTTGACTGGCACCTTGACCACCAGCAGGAGAAACTATCATAATCGACTGACTTTGCGTTACTTGACCAGCATTTGATTTTACCTATTAAACAATTTAAAAGTAATGTTAAAACCATCAATATATATATATATATATTTGTTATATTCTATACATTATCTACCTGCACTGTAGATGTAGGAAGCCTTTGCAATGTTGGCTTTGTTTGAAATACAATATTTTGATTATTCTGATTTGCTGTTGTATAGATAATATGCTCTTCTTCGACTTGCTCAGAAATTTCAGTCATTTCTACATCAGGTACAATTGTTTCAGTCTCAATATTACGTCCAATGATTATATGTTCCTCATCTGTTGACATAACTTCTTCAGCATTTATACATTCCAATTCAGCTTGAATATTTGCAAATGCTTCAAAGTCATTGGATGAATATTGTTCATTATTATGTGATAGACTTAATGCACTCAAATCACTATCACCAAATGTACGTGAATCAAGAGCTAATGGTTCAACCAAAGCTCTGGCATTTTGTCCTTTATTTACAGACATGATTATATTCCTATTTAAAACATTATTTATTACAAAAACTTATAAAGATATATATATATGTATATAATATTCAGTTTCTTAAATTGTGCCATTGTAACACAAAATTCATAAAATAATTCCTTGCTTTCTTTAAACATAAAATTGTACTCCTTTCTACAAAAACATTTTATTAATATGAAATAACTAAAAATGAATGTGTATTAGATATTTTTTTAAGAAATATTGCTATAAAATCATTACTATCATAAGAATCATAAAGTGTAAATGGAATTTCCAAAAAAATTATATAACTAAGAACGAAAACAAACATGCGATGCACAGATATATAAGCATAATATTATTTGTTATCATAAAATAATAAATTAAGTGCTCCAATTTGATTAAGCAATATTTAATATCTCATCACTATATGTACTCATTTACAATTAAAACAAATTCATCTGTGTTAAACATGTTTCCCAGATGTCTGTGTCATTCATCACAAACATGTACTCCATGAATATGCAGGTTAGAAATTCATGGAATGTAAATCGTTTTAAGTATAAAGTCTTCAACATTGAAAAACTATATATGAAAAAAAAATTAGACAAACCAACCGAAAAATGTAAATTCATTTACGAAATGACGTGCAAACGAAACGACTCAGCGAGAATTTAAAAATTCAAAAATTCAAATCTTTAGGATGTTCATATGCCTCCTTTGAACAGGAGGAACAATACGATTGGAAACGCATACACCCAACAATGTTAAAACTGAGTATAATTCGAATTTTTAAAAATTCGAATGATAAAATTTGAATAATGATGAAAAATTCGAAGGATAGTCTACTTAGGAACATTAGCGCCATTTATTACTCGAACGCGCCATTTTCCACGAACTGAATTTCTGCTTTCATTTTAATAAACATAAAGGTTTTATATCAAATCGACATTGATACAATGAAAGAAACAGAATATTTAACAATCCAAACGATAATAGAAAGTAAAGTTTTATCTAATGTTTGTTCTATTATCACACAAAATTCAACTTAACCTATAAGTTATCAGTTCATATCAGGTACGTACAGTGATGGGTGGGGGAGTGCCACAGAGCTTATTTTAATTACAACATAATATTCATAAAACTTTCTAATATACTTCTCAAACATTAACATTTCATATAAGTTACATCACAAATAATTTACTCCTCTTTTTAATACATACCTGGGTGTTCCCTTAATACCTCGAATTTGTTCAAAATCACGCGCCCACCATTGCTGTCCCACAGTGCACTACGCACCGCTGTGTACAAACAGACCCAAAGGTCATTTAGTACTAAAATTTCAAAGTGAAATGGTGAATGACAAAATTCACTATTACTACAGTATTACTTTTTTCTGATATACAGTTCACCGGAGGAGAATGCTTTTTTTTTATTAGACAAATATTACGTCGCAACTGTACAATACTTCCCGCACTTTGCAAATTTGGATTTCGCCATTTTCACCCTTCCGCGGCTAAAAACACGTCACCTCCTTAGCGCCCTCTTAGTCCAATAAAAAAACAAGTGTTCCAAAAACTTAAAGATTTTAAATACAAGGCATATAACTGGGTGTTTTGCATTGTTGTAACTAAATTTTATTAATTAAATTTTGTTTCTAAAATGGAAAAGTGAAATTATGTCTTCTACGCACATAATAATGTATATTTCCGTACAAATAGTATAATAAATAAGTTATACATTTGTAAAATACGTATGTAACCTTGTATTAATAAAATAACATTTAGTGATTAACTGTAACTAACAAAATAATATTGAATGATTCAACACATCTTTATAGAAAATCTTCATTGCTAAATTAAGAAATTACAATTAATAAATTTAAAATACAAATATAACGAATACAACATTAAAATAGGAGAAAAGATTTAATAAGAATATAATAAGATAATTGAAAGTATAGTTTTAAATATTATAAATTTTAAGTTCAAAAGCATTGAAAATCGAATTACATTTAAATTGTGTTCTTTGCAACTAAAAGCTGAAATAAATTCCTTAATAAACACCTTCCAAGATGTTGTATGCATTTTGACTTTCACATGTTTATACTTGGAAGCATTTTAAATATGTGATTTTCTAAACAAATGTGTAACAAATTTGTACTTTACTTTTACTCAAAAAGTGAAATGAATACCTTCTTCTCCTAGGATATGAAGTAATAATATTTTGCTTTCACTTGTATACTTTGAAACACATCGTTAATCTTTTAAATTATAAAACACCAATCGTTATTCTTTAATTTATAAATTTACTCGTTATACTACTATTTAAGTCATAAGTTATTTATATAGAGTGCGACGACAACTAGTTTCAATAATATTTTATAAAGCGCCACCTTTGATTAGACCTTTTTATATAATTACTTTATTAATCTTAATAATTGCATTATATATTCTCAAATAGAACAGGGACTGGGATGTTGCATGAAAATACACGATACAAAAATTATTATTGAATGTATGTATATACATACAGTTCTTTTCTGAGAATATAAATTTATAGATATCAATAATTTTTTGAATAAACAGGAAATTTAAAAATCTTAATTTTCATTTTTATAGTACTGTTTGGTGAAATGTATCTCTATTTACTGCTATTGTTTTGTAATGTAATTTCTAGTGATTAGTTCTCATAGTTCATGATCGCAATAGACGCAAAAGTCATTTTTGGTCATTTATGTAGGAAAGATGGTGGTGACGGCGGCGGCTTTTGTACGTCAACAGCTCATGACTGTTGCATGTTCCGGTGGTTCTCATAAAGATCAAGCAGAAAAGTAAGCCTGTTTAATAAAATCACAAATATGATTTTGGAATATTCGATACAAATGGTGATACTTACAGGTATCGGGCGGTTTTGGATTCGATACTATTATTGTCCAATGAAGAAATGGTTGATGCTTTGAAGATATTCATTGAAGCAAGTATGTCACTTTTCTCTGAATACATCTTTCTTTAAATATATTTATAAGTATATCTTTTAAGAACTAATACATCAATGATAATTTATAAACGTATAATACATATAAAACTACTGTATGTTATGTGCTTAGTTCTGTGTGTACAATTGAATTAAATATACTGTTAAGATTGAAGCTTAGACAATAATATTTTTATACCTAAACCATATTTATTAAGTACTGTTAATATTGTAACATTTATGAAAAACTAAATCATTTAATTTTACAGTTGTACATGAATATGTAAGTTTGGTGATCTCAAGACAAGTTCTTACAGATGTTAGCAATCGTTTATTGTTTTTGCCTGATGAAATATCAAAAGCTGTTTCACATTATACATTAGACAAAGTAAGAAATCTTTTTTTCTTGTTAATATAAATGTATCATTTATAATATAATAAGTATTCTTTTATTAATATTATAGATTCAACCAAGAGTAATCTCGTTTGAAGAACAAGTTGCTAGCATAAGACAACATTTAGCAGATATTTATGAACGGAACCAAAATTGGAGAGAGGCAGCTAATGTTTTAGTTGGCATACCATTAGAAACAGGACAAAAGTAAACATAAAACCTATTGTATATCATTATATTAGGGACAAATCTTAATTATTTTATTTTATTATTATGTTGTTTACTTATAGGCAATACACGGTTGACTACAAACTTGAAACTTATCTTAAAATTGCACGATTGTACTTAGAAGATGATGATCCTGTACAAGCTGAAGCATTCATCAATAGAGCATCTCTGTTACAGGTATCTATAATTTTTATTTTCTATTGAACTAAATTATACTTCAACATAATTTTTAATTTCTTACTTGTGTAGGCTGAATCAAAAAATGAACAGTTGCAAATTTACTACAAAGTTTGTTATGCTCGGGTATTAGATTATAGAAGAAAATTTATTGAAGCAGCTCAAAGATACAATGAATTATCATATAGATCCATTATACATGAAGATGAACGTATGACTGCACTTAGGAATGCTTTAATTTGTACAGTACTAGCTTCTGCGGGTAAGTTTTAAAACTGGTTTCATTTGGTTTATTTATCGAACATACTCTGTAAATATAATATCAATATTAGGACAACAGAGAAGTCGTATGTTAGCTACATTATTTAAAGATGAACGTTGCCAGCAACTTCCTGCTTATTCGATTCTTGAAAAAATGTATTTGGATCGTATTATTCGACGTTCCGAATTACAAGAATTTGAAGCCTTATTACAACCACATCAAAAAGCATGTACAATCGATGGATTGGGATCAACTATTCTCGACCGTGCTGTTATAGAACATAATTTATTATCTGCTAGTAAATTATACAATAACATAACATTTGAAGAATTGGGTGCTTTGTTAGAAATTCCACCTACAAAAGCAGAGAAAATTGCTAGCCAGATGATAACAGAAGGTCGAATGAACGGATACATTGACCAAATAGATTCTATTGTACATTTTGAAAGTAAGTTGGAAAAAAACCAAATAAACGAATCCTATATTCTTAACAAAAGTATTTTTTTTTTTTTTATCAAACATTTATTCTTTTATACAGCACGTGAAACTTTGCCAACGTGGGATAAACAGATACAATCTCTATGTTATCAAGTAAACCAAATAATAGAAAAAATTGCTCAAACCGAACCAGAATGGATTGCGAACGCGATGGAAAATCAAATGGTGGATTAATATAAACTTTTTAAGTGTTAACTTAACACAGCCACACGAAACATCAGACAAACATTTGTTACATACACCAATAAAAATTTAGAGGCAATAAGGATTGTTACTATAATTTAACTCTACAGGAAAGCTTGTATATTTCAAATACGTACGATTCAACATGCCTGTTAATTTTTATGTTAATATGCATGAAGTCAATTTTTATATGAACAATAAATAAATTTTGATTTGTTATGAATACAGTTATAAACATTAAGCAAATTTGCAAAAACATTAAACAATTTAGGTTTTCTCACTGTAGTTAGTTTATTATTTATGAAAACTAAAAATTAAAGTATATATAAAACTATAAATAAATTTTATTAACGAAATACTTTTAAAATGTTATTCGTTCAACATTTACCTAACTGTCACGAAATTCACATAAAATACTCTTATTTAAAAGAATAATACAACTTTTTTCTTTGTGAATAAAGTATCCACATTGCACATAGACTTTACCTATATTTGAAGAATTAATCAAAGCTTAATTCAGATGTTGCTCAATATTTAAAAAGTATTGATATATAAGAGAATAAAATTTAATGAGTACAAACCTCGTATAACCTGTAGTATAAACTTGCCGCATAAAACAAGCTTATGAAATATAACCAAAAATATTTATTTTAATATATTACTTTGAAAACGTCAAATATTTATATAAGTCAAGCTTTAAATTATGGAAATACTATCTCGTATTCCGACAGAAAATATTTCACAATAGGGTTTCACCCCTAACATAGCTACACTGGCAGTAACGTTTACATTAATTATGTAGGCAGGAATGAATGATGATTTCATTTTGAGAACGAAAGTTGAGTATGTTTGACATTTAACACTATTTAATCTCAAGTCCCTGTATTTAGCTGTTTATTTACTATCATATCAGGTGCAAATATTTTTACACAAAGAAATTCAGTTATTGACACTAAAGATGCAGCTGTAAAAACATATGTGCAGCATGCTATGCATTCTTATTTTAACTGACCGCAAAGTTTACAATTATTTCACAACTTGATAACATTTATTACTTAAAAAATATACTTCCAGAAAAATTTAAACACATTTTATTTCTAATTTAACTTTACCAGTTATTGTAATCAACATTGTTTTATGCATTTTTTTTGTCTTTTCTGTTAAAGTTTGGAGTAATCTTTGACTTTATTATTAGATTGAAAACTTTCCACAGGAATTAGTAACAGGCTGCACCATATCAAATGTAAACGAATTATGGAGGAAAGGATAGTACACTTTTGTTTCATTTAAGGAGTTATGAATCGCACTGTTCATGAGGAGGTATTGTTACTATACCATGTTTATACTCATAATTGTGTATATTTTAAACTAATACCCCTTTAACTATTTTTAAATGATGCATGATATCTTGTGGCATCTATTTCGGGATAAACCTATCTATATTTTATAGGCAATATTTTATCTGAAGCATGTACTGTGATGCTGCTTTTATGACACAAAGGTCATGAAATGACCTTTTAGTGAGTCAAGTCCTTTTGTGTCTGTGATCAATCAGATTTAAGCCTGAAGATCTAATGCAAGACCAACCTTGTGTCCACCAGAACCAAAGTTCTTTCCATCAATATTTGTAGACAGTGTCAAGGTTATACCTAAAAATGATAACAAAATTTAGATTAATTAATTACTCATTAATTCACATTAACAGAAACATGTTAGTGCTTAATAAAAAAAAAAGAAAGAAACACAAAGCTGTTACTCTACTTAGGTACAAGTACTTAAATTAAAATTTTACAGAGATTATAAAATATTGCTTTCACAAAATTAAATTTGACTTGCCTTCACGTAATTTTTGTTGATATCCCAAACCTACTTGAAGGTTGGAATTGATCTTAGCTCTGACAGATGCATCTGCATCAAGATTGTATCTTGTAGCAATTCCAAATTGTGTAACATTATTACTTGAGTTCCACTCAAGATTAATTGCTCCTTCCAGGTCTGATTTTATCTTATGATAAATGAGACCACTAAAGTCACAGCCATTATTTCTACAAAAAAGAATGAATTGAAAATATTTAAAGAACTTAATAACGTGTTATTTTGCTTAAATGTGCTTAGGATATTTAAACATACACTGCAGCATGAAGGGTGAAGTCAGAGGCAATGAATCCTAGCGCAAAATTATTCTTTGTAAGTTTGTTTCTTTGTGTATCAAAACAAGCCTGGTAACCAGCCAGCCATCCTAAAATGTTATTATATGTAATTTTAAAGTTTACAATAAATTAACTCATTCAGCTTTATTGTATCACATCCTTACATTCTTCTTCTAGCATATCTTGGATATTCAGAATGAAAAAGGAGAAGGCTTGAGTGGAATTACAAGGAATCAATCGCATGGTAACAAATGTATGAAAACTATTAAATATCTAAACAATAAATAAATCTATGGTTTCTCAATTTTAATACTAAAAATAAAATGAAGTATTAATAATTATACACTACAGCTTAAATTAAGGTACATGATACAACTGTATAATAGTAATATAAATTATCACAAAGTACGCATCTTTAACTCACCTTGATATCCTATAACGGATGATGCATTTACAAGAGGGCCAGCAGAAAGACTAAGATCAAAATCAGCAGTTGCAGATACATTATCATGTTTGTAAGATGTCTTTAATTTGCCAGTCTTGGTCCTACGGTCATTAAAAAATTATTCAAACAATTAGATTGAGTATTTTCAAGGAAACGATAAAAAAAAGATTAAGAATGACGAGATTAAATGATGCAATGTTTTACCCTGTCTGTGGGGAAAATGTACAGCCATAGCCAAGGGTAAGACCTTTGAGCAACTTATCAGAGAAAGTAACATCAGTGGCAAGAGTATTATCTGTGTTCCACTTTTCACTAAATTTTAATCCATAATCATCAATTTTATACTTGGTTTCCAAAGTACCAAATACTTTTCCAGTGTCCTGATTAGATACCCCACCTGTAGCAAACTCTACACCAGATTTGGTCTTTGATTTTATATCTAACTTGATTAAACCAAAGTGATACCCATCAGAAAATAAATCACGAGCATTTTTGCCTAATTCAGTGTAGGTTGGTGGGGCCATGATCTACAAAAAGATATTAGATACATGAACTTGACCATTAACTTGTCAAAATCATATTGATATTTTATTATGAGCACTAATTATATATCTGTTTGTGACTAAATAGACATATAACGTGTATTTTGCTATAATTATATATTGACTACAGACAGTGCTAAAGAATTCTAAAAATAGTCATCTTTAACCCACAAGTATTAGATGGTCAAACAATATCAACTTCTATGTTATAATTCGCTCAATAAATATTTTAATGATAAGTAGTTAGTAAATTAAACAATTATTTGATGACACAGCAAAATAAAAGTATAACTAGTTAATAATGAACTGCTAATATATTGTACACTTATAGTGTTATAAAAAAATATATTATTTTATACAATTAGTGATGTTTAATACAATTAACAGAAAAAAAGTGTATAAATTCTGTAATAATAAATTGGTTAGGAAAAACTGTTAAAAAATATATATAAGTAAGAAATTATCAACATAATTACAAGGAAAAATACAATAAATAATTGTATATCGTTAATTTAACATAACATAGAGAAAAAAATGGAGTGGTATTGACCTGCCTAGGTATTACATAAGGCGCAAATCAGTGATTTCCAATTTCCACAATATGATATTCATATTGTTACAAATGAAATTATCCTTCCCAATCAAAATCGTTACTACTTAAATCACGTAGTAAGAATAAAACGTTTAAATCCATATAAAAGAAAATTAACAGAAATAATCGCATATAACACCGTTAGGCGACAGCCGACATTATCAGTAACTCATGCCGGCTTCGCAAAAACTTAATTTTTTGTTATAAATATCGTACTATATACGCGAGAACAAAGATTTTAACTTATATCTGATGCGTGTACGTAATGCAATTCATTAATACTTACTATTTTATGTTATAAGACACGAGTGGAGAAAACTACGTGAGTTCGTCTTATAATTGCGTACGTGAGACGATATGCTAACCGGGAGAGAAAAATGGAACTTGTGCGCAACTGTGCCTACGCATGCGCAACACAGAATTCTGCAAATAATGTTAAACCGTTTTTTTGTGAAAATATCGATATCTGGTAATGAAAAAAATCCTATTATCTTTCTTAAAAAATCGTAATCTTGTACAGAACGTGATACATTTAATTATTTAATTCTTGTATTGATCTACTTTCTGGATATTACGTAACCTCGAATATTACCCTGACGGTCGTGATTTTTGCACTTATTCTGTTCATTCAATTTATTGAGCGTCAATAAAAAGATAAGAATACTGACAATGAGAGGAACATTTATTTCTCTTTTAATAATTACTTCTTAACAACCACTTTTATAATATGTTATTGATATGTTTAAATAAATAATTTAATGTACAGAGTAAAAAAGAATGTTCAAAATGTCAGTTTATAGTTGCATCTCGTACTTTAGGATTTCTTACAACTGATTGTATGAGATGTTAATTTTGTATACGAATTATAAACAATATATCTGTATTGTAACTGTAATGCAAGTTATACGTGTATAACTAAAGGATAATGCTATAAAATTCATTAGTTTTATATTTTCAAACGACAATATAAGACAAAATTCCCAAGACAAAATGGTATAGATGATACAATTAAAAATGTACAAAAAATTATGTTCTATGTATAAATTGTTTGCGAAAATGAAAAGAATACTTTTATTTTTCGACTATCCCGCGAACTTATCGAAATGCTTGGATGTTTCTGCACATTTCGAGATCCTAAAATAAACTGGCTAGCTTGATGCAAAGTCACTTATGTTTTCTACGCGAAGTCGAGACTCTTCGCGAAAGACGGTTGAGATCATTTCTTTGGCAGTGTTTGCGCATAGGTATATTTTTAATGAGACAATTGGTTATATATAAAGGACCGCAGAGATTCAATATTCAGTTCATTTGTATCTTTTCGTATTAGTAGATCACTGAATTAAATTCGAGCGCAGAGATCGTGCTGAGCAAAGCAATTCATTATCAACACTAATCGAGTACTTCGTCAACCATGTCTCAACAAAGCTCGGTGCGTTTTGAATTTTACTTATTAGAAGCAATTAAACTTATTAAAATAATTAACACAAGTAATGCCGTTTCTATAATTAATTTTTAATATGGAACAAAAAATATTTACCATCACTTTTGAACATCCAACCATATTGACCACTCTTCTTTTAATAACATTCTTGCATCTTTCTTCAAGTAACTTTTTTTTATTGTTCCTTTAAAAAGATTCATTTCTAAACTTTAAGTTGTTACTATTATTTAGTAGACTCATATTTATTATAATGTATTTTAATTTAATATCATTTTGCTATAATATATGATACAAGTTTTTACCAAACGTCAGTAGTACGTTGATTAAAAACATATAGGAGATATGTAATTTAAAACAGGTAGTAACATATAGTTCTTACGAAATCGATACACTAAATTAATTTATCTATGTATCTGCATAGCTACAGAAAATCTAGAACGATATTGTCTTTCATATTGTATTTATTGCATAAAGATAGTATCGATTAAGAATGCATAATAAGTTGGTTCATTCGAAAATAGATACACATTTAAATTTTGTTTGTAATCATTTCTTTCAGGGTGCTGCAGCAAAGTTGGAGGAGAAAAGTACGGAAAAGTATAAGATCCTTCAAAATGATAAAGTGGGAAGGTATAATATCCCTTTACGTAGGCAATCGGATACTCGTTTCTACATATATATTCCTTAAAAATTTTATATATTTTTGTCGAAATATTGCAAAACCATATCAATCTCCATTGCTTAAACGAATCAAAGTAAAAATTGAAGATATTGAAACTTTAATGGATATCTGGGTTCCCGATTGCCCATACGATAGAAGTTAGATCAATTTCCTAAAATTAATTTTTATTTTTTAGATATATGGTAGCAAATAAGCAATTAGAAGCGGGCGAAGAAATGATCACAGAGATGCCTTTTATCGTTGGACCAAAGGCATTCACTTATCCCTTGTGTCTTTCGTGTTATACACCGTGGCCTCCATCGACAAACGATAAACCGCTTTGTTCAAGATGCGGATGGCCTGTTTGTTCTACTGAATGTGAAAACCAACCGCAACATAAAGATTACGAATGCCAGGTGCGAAATGAAAAAAAATATATATATATATATTATATATACATACTGATCGAATTGAGTAACCTCCTCCTTTTTCGAAGTCGGTTAAAAAGCAATTAGCATATCATAATATCTTTGCACTTCGACTTTAAACTTTTTGAACATCTTCGTATATTTTCTATTATACGTGTAGAATCTGTGAGAATAGAGGCAAAAAATTAAAAAAAAATTATATTCATTATTTACAGATATTTGCACGGGCCAACGAAAAGTTCAACGTGCAAGCGGCCTTGGAAGAAACGAATGAGAATGGTGTCCCACAATTAGAATGTATAACACCATTAAGATTGCTCCTAGAGACAGAAAAGAATCCTGAGAGATGGAACAAGGAAGTGAAAAATATGGAGGCACATAATAAAATAAGAAGCCAAAAGGAACACTGGAAATCCGACCATGTAAATGTAGTAGAGTATTTAAGAAAACAACTTAAACTAGACAGGTATTAATATTCGACACAGTCCAAAAATATGATGTTAACAAGAATTTGTTAAATGTGATACACTAATTTGTTACAGATTCTCGGAGGAATTTATTCAAACGATTTGTGGAATTTTGGAAATCAATACTTTTGAAATTCGAACACGGAAAGGGTATAGTGCGAGAGCACTTTATCCAACAGTTGCTCTTATGAATCACTCGTGTGTCTCGAATACTTGCCATAGCATTTCACCGAGTGATTACAGGTAAATTACCTTTCTTTTAAAAGTCTTCTCAATTTCAATTTCTCGACCACGAAGTGAACTCGGCTTACAATTCTATGTAGCAGAAAAAAATAATTAGTAATACACCTTGATTTAATTTACAGAATACGATTGCGTACGACCGTACAAGTACCACCGGGTGGTGAACTCTATGGAAGTTACACTCATTCGTTACTTCCGACGATGCTCAGAAGAGAACACCTTCTCGAAGGGAAGCACTTTGCATGTGCTTGTCCAAGGTGTTCAGATCCTACTGAACTTGGCACACATATGTCTTCATTGAAATGTAACAAATGCGACAACGGAATCGTCCTGTCTTTAGATTCTTTAGGTACTGAAACATTATAATGATATTGCAGAAAATCATCAAGTCGAATTCCTTGCATACTATAAAAGTACTTTGTAGATCCCGACAGTTTATGGAAATGCACGCATTGCGAATTTACAACGTCGGGACCAGCCGTTCAGAAGGTGTTGCACATTATACAAGCAGAAGTCGATGCAGTGGAGACCATCAGCGGTGCCGATGGAGCTGATGCTATTCAAGAGAGAGAGAAGGTCATAAAGAAATACCACTCTGTACTGCATCCTCGCCACGCTTTTCTGACTATGTTGAGGTAAATTATCAGCCAACCCGTATCTAACTGTTGAAAATCTTGAGAAGGGGGCTATAACATTTAGACATTCTGTCACTTTTGTACAGGCCAAACGGTAAGAGTTGTCGAAAAAATTCTTGCGCTATTGCGTTTAGCGGGTCAAAATCTCAACGAAAGCCGAAAAAAATTTTTTTTTTGCCACTTCCGGTTTGACCGGAAATGGCCGAAAAAGGGTTGGCTTACAACAATACCAAGATTGGGAGAACTTTGTGTCCCTCCTAAAAATAGAAGGCTTGGTATTGCAAGAGTTAATGATTTTCATTCTATAACTATTCTAGTATGGTATAATTTGTTGCTTTAACTTTTTCAGGCACTCATTAACGCAAATGTATGGTCGCGTTGATGAATATCTCCTAGATGATTTACCGGACGTTGTATTAGAGCATAAAATCGATATGTGCAGGTTACTATTGCAAGTATTGGACGTCATAGAACCTGGTTATTCTCGTATAAGAGGTGCAGCTCACTTTTTATTATTCTTCATTGCTCTTTTTACTTTTTATTAAGATCATTGATTTACTTAATTAGATAATGACGTTTAATAGATATTTTTTCTGTTCTTCCAGGTATGACGTTATACGAGCTCCACGCACCGTTGTTGTTCACAGCAAAAACACAATGGAACGCCGGAGTGATCGACGAGGCTGCACTGAAATCAAAAATGATAGAAGCTTCAAACATTTTAAAAGAAGCAGCTACGATCTTATGCTTAGAGCCACCGGATACGCCTGAGGGCGAAATAGGTCTCGTTGCGAAAGAATCGTTAATCGAACTTGAACAGTCGATCAATAATTTATAAGTATTTATAATGATAAATGTATTTATTTGTTAATAAACGAATGTGACTAATAAATGTAAAATATAAATAATTAAACACGTTTTATTACAAAAAATGATTTACCTATACATATGTATTCAATTAACAAATATTCCATCTTCCTATTTCGCTCGAAAATCCCCATTTTTTGAAGTTTAAAATAATGAAATTTTAGTTTACCTACTTCATCAAAATCAAAGGGAACAGTTTGATAGACAGGATGCTATAATTAATGAACATGTTAAAGAAACACGTAACATTGTATTTTCTAATACAATGCCCACGCATTATTTTGTAGCGAGCACGCGCTACACTGACTTCTAATAATACAACGTATCGAGAGTACCAAAGAAAGACTCCCGCTACAACTTCCTGTATTTCGGTGTCAGTTACAAACTGTATGAAATGCACGATACAACGAGGCTCCCACGAATCTAAATAACTATAGTATCGTTTAATTGTAATTTGATTTTACTCGGGAAGAGTTCCAGTTAAATATGACTATGGAAGAGAAGCCGAAAACTAGTGCAACTCCTATATTAAAGTATAAAGTTGCTCGTTCAGAAAAATTTGGCAGGTACAATCATCAAATCGCAATCTTAAAAAAAAATAATAAATCTTTAAATCACACTTCAATACAATTGCAAATTAATATATTTAAAAGATTGTAATCCATGTAGTTTGAACAAGTCTTCAATGAATATTAAAGTAATGATTTTTAAAATAAAGTGTTACCTATTTTTTTATATTGTAAAATGTGTTTTGAGGTGCATCACTTATCTTATCACATTTCTAAAGATATTTGCAGGCAGCAAAAAATTTGCAAGCAGGTGAAGTGATCCTTCGAGAAAAACCAATCGCGGTTGGACCAATAACATCCAGCAATGATTATGTGTGTTTCGCGTGTCTGCGTTTGTTGCCTAAAATCAAGAAAGGAATACAATACCTTTGCTCCAAATGCAATGTCGCACCTTTGTGCGGCCCTGGTTGCGAGGTAATAAATTTCGAAAATAAATCGCACCTTTCGTTCGAATTTAAAATTAGAATTACAAATTAACATTGTTAACTGCAATTTATAAATTTAGGAACAGTCGAAGCATCATACACCTTACGAATGTGACACATTTAAAAATAATAAAAAGCTATCATCAGATAACATAGGAGAAATAATTGGTATATTATTGCCTTTAAGACTATGGTTCCTAAATCAAACAGATCCAGAATTATGGAAAAGAATTGAAACCATGGAAGCTCATATGGATGAAAGGAGAAACACATCTGTATGGAGAGACAGAGAAATCAATGTTATAAACGTATGTAGGAAAAAAAAAAACGAAGAAAAAGTTTAACAATGTTCAGTAATGAAAACATCCATATTACAAATAGGTAATGAAAGCACTCCACTTGATTCCTGAAGATGATGCATCCATCCCGGACCATCTGCAACAGATGTGCGGAATTTTAGACGTGAATACTTTCGAGCTAAGATCTCCGGGAGGTTTGGATGGGCTTCTTTTGCGAGGTTTATATGTAGCAGCCTCTTTCATGGCTCATGATTGCAGAGGAAACACTCATCTGACTGTGGATGATGATTTTCAGCTTACTGTGTATGCTAGTTTACCGATCAAAGAAAACGAAGCGATTCTTTTTAATTACACATCGTCCCTTTTGGTTTGTGAATTTTGATGTTATTTTTATTTATTTAATTCTCTCAGCGAATGTCCACGGTTCTCCTAGTGCCCTTGTAACGGAAGTGTTCAATTTTACAATTGAAATCTTCGAATTTATGAAAAGTAATATCCTGTAATTGTATAAAAATACTGATTGATATATTCATTATTAGGGAACAGTAGGTAGAAGAGATCACTTGCGAGGAGGAAAGTATTTCGAATGTGAATGCTCATTATGTAGCGATCCCTACGAAATGGGATCCCATATGAGTAGTATTCTATGTCCACGATGCAGGAAAGGATACATGGGAATACAAAATCCATTGACGAGATACCCGTACGAAAAAGGTACAGCATGGCAATGCGACAAATGCAGACGATGTATCGGTGGTCGTCTTGTAAGAGCCACTGTTAATATATCTAGAACACTGATTGATGATATGGATGATTATGATATCAAAGTTTGTATATGATCAACAGTTTGAAGATTATATCAAAATTTTTAAAAATTGATATTTCTTTGATAATCATATTATAGGGAATGGAAGCATTAACGAAAAAATTATTGGGATCCCTTCATCCAAATCATTTTCTAATGCTATCCTTGAAGCAGAAGTTACTAGCCGCGTATAGGAAAGAAGTGGCAACTCCAAATCCACAGAAAAAAATTATGCAACGAATGTTGGATGCTTGTAGAGAAATGTATAATGTGTTGGAGATAGTAGAACCAGGGATATCTCGGTTGAAAGGTAAACCCAATATTCTGAAAGCAAATAAAATTTATTGTAGTATTAGTGTGAGTACTGATAACGCGGCTCAATAGATATGTAGATTACCGATTGTTATTAAGCGTTTTTTATTAATTCTCATCAGAATCTACAATCTGTTTTCCTAAGTACCTCCATCTTTTGAAAAATTTAATTTTCATTTGTATTCTTAAAATTTTAGGAATAATGTTGTACGAAATGCATTTACCACTGGTACTACTTGCAAACCGCGCGTACTCGGCGCGGGAAATTTCTTCAGCGGAACTGGCCTCGCGCCTTGAAGAAGCCGGAAGTCTTTTAAAGAAGTCCTTAACGATACTCCTTTTGGAACCAGTGGACACACCCGAGGGGAAATTAGCTAAACGAGCTCTGCAAGAATTGAAAGCACTAAATCAAAATATAGCCGACGTTAAAACGATTACAATAGCTGATCAGAAATGTAGCCATGATAAAAAGAAACCGCAAAAAAATAAATCTACTAAGAATAAATGAACATGAAACGCTTAAATAAGCGTGTCAAGAAAATATTTGTTTCTATATACAATACTAATAATAATGATTTTTGCAGAAATTACCTTCTTTATTTGTTCATTAATTCATTGAAACTATTAATTTATTTAAATAATTTGTTGATAATCTTAGATTGATCTAATGTTATTCAGAAATTCTAAAATCCGTTATTATCCGATTTTGTAATTTAAATTCTCCCCTTCTTTTGTGGGCTACTGTATTTCAATAATGGCAAATCTGTAATTATCTGTAGAAATATTGCGGCATATAGGTAATTTATATATAAAAATATAGTTTTAATAAAAATGTAAACTTTCTTTTATTACTTTTTTGTATAAAGTTGTTGAACTATCTAATTTACGGTCAAATCCACAAATCCAATACACTGTGACTGACTCAGACTGACTGTGACCTAAACCACTATGGCAGCCGGTTGAAGCATAAATAGTGAAGTTTAAAAATATGGAAATAACGAAATTTTGTTATTTAAGAAACTAAATTTGCAAATTTATTATTTCTTACATAGTATTTTACTTTTGTAAAAAAAACAGGTAATGTTTTGACTATGAAATTTTGTAATATAACCTCCATGATACCAACATGAATAAACTAAGAAAATGAGTTATTGCTATTTTATCAATAAAATTGTACAAACTTGTTAACGCGTATTGCATTGAATTCATCAAATGTAATTTATTCAAATAAATATGTAGATGCATGAAAGAAATGATATATATTAATTTTGTCATTTTATAAATCTAATTTTTTTGTTCATTTTAGCACACAAGCATTATGTTTGATCAAAGTATAATTGGGATATGCTTTTTCATCTGCTTAGCAATAGTCTTCAACTTTTCTTTACACCGTATAGAGGAAGGTCATGTTGGTGTTTATTTTAGGGTAAGTATGTTCACTCTTGAGTGTAAAATGATAAAAATTTGTAAAAATATATACTTATTTTATATGTATATATTTCATACGTATTAATTATGTAACATAGGGTGGTGCACTGCTACCCCAAGTAAGTAATCCTGGATTTCATATGATGATACCTTTATTGACCACATATCGTTCAGTTCAAGTCACGTTACAAACAGACGAGGTAAAGAATGTACCATGCGGTACTAGCGGTGGTGTGATGATCTATTTTGATCGTATAGAAGTTGTAAATGTATTAGATGCAAATAGTGGTAAGAATCTTATCAGTTATTTATATAACCAATTAATGAATTATCTCATTATTTATCAACATACTTTTCTGTTTGTACAGTTTATAATATGGTGAGAAATTTCACAGCAGATTATGATCAAACGTTAATATTTAATAAGATCCATCATGAATTAAATCAATTTTGTTCTGTGCACACATTGCATGAAGTTTACATAGATCTGTTTGATCAAATAGATGAAAACTTAAAAACTGCTCTTCAAAAAGACTTGAATGACTTAGCACCTGGTTTAAGCATACATGCAGTTAGAGTTACCAAGCCTAAAATTCCAGAAACTATTAGAAAAAATTATGAATTAATGTAAGTATAAATCTAAGTTGACTACTCTTAATTAATTTAGTACTAGTACTGATGAGATTATATTATTATAGGGAAGGAGAGAAAACAAAGCTATTAATATCTACGCAACATCAGAAAGTAGTAGAGAAAGATGCAGAAACTGATAGGAAGAAAGCTGTTATTGAAGCAGAGAAAGAAGCACAGGTAGCAAAGATTCAGTTTATTCAGAAAATTATGGAAAAAGAATCTCTACAACAAATAGCATCTATTGAAGATGAGATGCATTTGGCAAGACAAAAGAGTCATTCTGATGCTAATTATTATCAAATGAAAATGCAGGCAGAATCAAATAAATTACTTCTCACTAAAGAATTTTTAGAACTAAAAAAATATGAAGCACTTGCACGCAATGCAAAGATTTATTATGGTCAAGATATACCAAAAATGTTTATGTATGGAGGCTGCTCGAATGATCCTAGCATAGGTTCCACTGTAGATGTTCAAGAGTCTATAATGCAATGAATGGGCAACTCTTTTTTTTTTTTTATAATGCAATGGTTATTTTAGTTAATTCTAATATGCATTAGATGTTATTATAACGATTGTAACAGTGTTGAAAAATAATAACTATACCCAGATACTCGGTAACATTTTATTTTAATCAATGTATGTGTCTGTAATTGCTCTGATGTCAAATCTTATCAAATTCACTAGAATTTTCTAATAAAACTATTACTTACAATCTTATTAATACTATATTCAAATTTTCCATTACATCTACATTTATAATTTATGTTAATTGAGATATGATAACTAACAATATTGTATAATTTCCTAAAAAGTGTATAAGTCAAAATAAATCTTAAATTTGATCCGTTACTTTGTTTACTTTTAACAAAATTCTGACCTTATTGTCGAACACAATACATAATTAAATTAAAAATTAATTTATCGAATTTATAAATTGTTTAAATGACAATTAATTAATTTAATTTGTGTTTGAATATTTTAAATGATATATTTTTACTATGACTGAAGCCAGTGATGCCCTGCGAGCCTTGAAACTCCCACTCCGCTAATCACTTCCCATACGGGGTGTAACAATAGTACGATTGAGTAGGAAGAATACAGAATGATACACGTGAGTAAAAAACCGTGCGCGTCTGCACACGTTCAGTATGTGTATGTTTAATAAATATTACACAAAAATGTCCATATATATATACATTGATGCGTCATTTACATGATATTTACAAGAAAATGTACATTAATGCGCTATTTACATGATATTTACAAGAAAATGTACATTAATGCGCTATTTACATGATATTTACAAGAAAATGTACATTAATTTACAAAATATTTATACACAAAAAAGTATATTTAAAAATCGATGTCACTGTCGGAGTCATCGGATTGGTCCACCCACTCACCACTTTCGTCCAGAGTACTATCTGTAATCTGGTCTAGTTGGCAGAACCTGTTTTCCTCCTCCGTTGTGTGGCGAATAAAATTCTGCCACGACTCGGCGGACACATTTTCCACGGCTTCGAGTACTAATGCGTGGACATCAGACAGTTTGCACGTTGTGTTTCGCGCCCTTACATACTCTTTGATTTTTGCCCATGCTAACTCGATGGGGCTCAGCTCACAGTGGTAAGGGGGAAGGCGTACCACAGTATGTCCATGCTGCTTGGCGTATTCATCGATTACGTATTCATATCGCCTTAGCTTGCGCGATAATTGTACCAGCTGCGCTTTGACATACTGTGGTTCTACCTTTTCCCCCTTAGCAACTAGCCACGTAATAATGTCATTTTTCTTCCAGCTCATGGTGGGATATTTCTCCAATTTCGTACTATGGTATGAAGCACTGTCCATAACAATAACCCCCCCATCTCGTAGCATGGGCAAAATACTGCGAAACCAGTCGAAAAATGTGTCGCTGTTCATTTCGTCGTGGTAGCCGGCAGAATTTTTCTTCGCCTCAAAACAGAGGAGGGCTCCAGGTACAAACCCATCCGATGACCCGACGTGACCTATTATTAGCTGTTTTCCTTTGTTAGCGGACGCCGGTATGCCCCTGGACAGGCTCCTTTGTTCCGCGTTTTCGGGGCAGGTAACAGAAGTGTCGACCCGAAATTTTCGTCTGACATCTCCCGCGTTAACCCACGTTTCATCTAAGAAGTATATCGGGCGTTCTTCGGAACGATATTTTTGTATCTGCTGTATGTACCGTTGCCTCCAGGCGACAATATGTTCTTTGTCGATCAGTGCGCTATTACGCGCGCGAACGATGTATTTAAATTCTATTCGTTTCAGTAGCCGGTATAACGACGATTCGCTGAAACTGGGGAGTTCGGGATCTTGGTTCACGGCTTCCAAAATTTTTCTCACGTTTGGAATTTCGCGCCGGAACCAAAATTCATGCACCTTCCTCCTTATGGCCAGTATGTCCTCCTCGGACGTCTTCTCCAAAATATTCATGCGGGGTCTCTTCTTATTTGGAGATTTAACCGTTCCTGTTGATTTATACTCGGACACAGTCTTGGAAATTGTCAATTGCCCGATTCCAGTCTGTTTGGATAGTAATTGTATTAGAGGTCTATACTTCATTTCTGGATGCTCCTCCTTGAGACTTTTGTATAGATCTACGATCATCATTTTCTGAGAAGATTCAACGAACTACAAAAAGAACAAAGTATGATTTCAAATATACATATTTTATGTAAAGAAAAATGAAATGTTTCGCACTTATGGTATCGAAATGCCGAAAATTTAAAAAATTTATTAAAATGATATATCTTCATAACACGAGCTTACTTTTCCCGATGGATTTCTCTTTGTTGGAGACGCACTAGACGGTCCAGGACCTTCTTCCTCCATTTCACACACTTTTTAAACGAAAAATAAATACAATAAAATAAGAAATATAAAATAAATACAATAAAATAAGAGATAAAAAAGATAAAAGAAATACTTACAAGAAATAATTCAATACACAAAGAAATACACTACGCAAAAAAATACTACTCCGACAAAATATTCTGTAGCTATTCGTTACACACTCCAAATCACCAAATGATGCACATTTTCACGTCGATGTACCGCGTGGAGACGCCTCAGCCACAGCGCGACGCTGTGCGGAAGGGTATGGGAGTGGGAGTATCGCCAATCAGGGCGAAGATGCGCATGAAAGAATGAAAACTGGTCTTTTCTGGTGTTGCGTGTCCGTCGCGGAAAATAGGGATATTCGGGGATTTAGGTGCAGGTGTGACAGTCCGTGGAGCGCAGAGGCGCTCTGCTCTCAAGGCGCGGATATACAAAATAGTAAACTGTTATTATTGTTTTGAGTACTTTAATATTTTGAATTCAATTTAAAACAGAACTTTGACTTTGTGTTAACAAGGCTTAGAACTTTCTGTGCGAAAACGACTTGTCCGTAACGAGTGACAAAATCATTCTGACAATTCTGCGCTTGGCGGAGGAGATCTTCGCGCGTTGTCGGTCGATGCCCCTTCCTTGGTGGATCCTAGATCCTCCCTCAGGATCATCCCTCGTCCAATGGTGGAGGAGTCCACCCTGTCTCGTGTGGGCCCCTTCTCCTGGCTGTGGTCCACCCTCAAGCGCGTGGAAGTGGAGGCGCTCCGCCAAGACGCTAGAACGTTGCAGCGCACATGTGCTAAGAGAAAGCGTGGGACCCAGAGAAATTAGGAAACGACAAGACCTTGTACTTGCCAAAGCAACTCTTGAGGAAATTTACGACCCTCTTAGAGTGCATGAAAAGACAGGATATCGAAAAAGACTTCGTAACCCTTAAGGACCGTTCGTGACTTGGTCGAAAACAACGAATTAGCTATGGTCTATTATAAATTAGTTTTTAGGAATTTTCCAAGTGAAACTATTCCATTCTCTGGACTTCCGGCCTTCTTTCAGCTCTATCACCCACGTCCAGGGGTTTACAATTTACTCTTTGTTTATTTATATAAGGGTATGCATAGACGATGTTCGAATTTCGCTCTTAATTTATGACCATCGATACAAAGGTCCTCGAAGAACATTCAAGACATATCGATACAATAGACTATCGATAAATATTCCCATGGCAGTGTCGCCACACCACTCTAAACATATTCACGTGATAACGTTTCACTGGTCTTTTCGCAGTTATGGATGGTTATGGACTGTGGTAATGGCAAGTATAGATGGCGCTCGTTTTCGAGGCACAAATTTAAGGCGTGTTCAGCATGGTTCAGCAACACGTGGTATAAATTGCATTTTTAACCTTAAATTGAAAAATCGTTATTGTATTTTAACTATGACAGCCAAAAAGCAATTAAAACGTAAAAGAACGGAAAGTACAAACAAGGAAAATGTACCAGAAACAAAGATTTTACCAGCAAAAAGAATGTCGGATGAACCACCACCAAAGAAGGTTACAAACATTTTTATTCTATCCTAATGGAAAAAGTACTTAAAAGATATTAATCAGTATTTTTAAGTAAGATTGAAACAGAGTATTGCTAATAACTATTATATAATTCTCATTTAATCTCATTTAATTGTTTAGGTAAAATGGATTAATAAACAGAGGGTATTAGTATTTGCTACCAGAGGAATCAGTTTTAGACATCGTCATCTTATGGATGATATAAAAACACTTATGCCTCATCATCGTACTGAATCTAAAATGGAACGTACTAAAAACTTACAAGTAATTAATGAAATGTGTGAGATGAAAAATTGTAATAAAACAGTATTATTTGAAGGCAGAAGGAAAAAAGATCTATATTTGTGGTTTTCTAATATTCCTACAGGACCTTGTGCAAAGTTTCTTGTTGAAAATAGTAGGTATTTTATTTTTTTTTTACAAAAATTTAATAAACCATAATTAATGTTATACAAGTAATTTAGTAATTTGTTCATTATAGTCTATACTATGGGAGAATTAAAGATGACTGGAAACTGTTTAAAAGGATCTCGGCCTTTATTATCATTTGATGAAAATTTTAATACAAAACCACATTATAGTCTGTTAAAAGAATTGCTTGTTCAAATATTTGGTGTTCCTAATCATCATCCTAAAAGTCAACCATTTTTTGATCATGTATATACATTTAGTGTATTAGATAATAGGATATGGTTTAGGAATTTTCAAATTTTGACTGAAGATGGTGGTTTAGCTGAAATAGGCCCAAGATTTGTATTAAATCCAATAAAAATATTTGCTAACAGTTTTGGTGGAGAGGTACTTTGGGATAATCCAAACTATATTTCTCCTGCTAAGGTATGAAATAATTTAATTTTTGTTTTAGCATTAACAATATGTGTTATAATTAAAAATACTGTATATACTGTAAAAAATATATGATTTTTTTTAAATTATAGTTCCGACAATCTATAAAGAAAAAAGCTGCAGGTAAATATATAAACAAGGTAGAACAGAAAACAGCGAAAGAACTTAATAAACCAAAAGAATCTTATTCATTAAATCCAATGGATGAAATATTCCAAAGTGATCCATTAGAAAAAGCATTAGAATTGAAGGAGAAAGAAGTGGAAGCGTCAAAGAATACCAGTGAAACAAAAAAAGTAAAAAAAAGTTTTAAAGAAAAAAAACATTTAAACAAAAAAATTGGAGTAACGAATTCTAAAAAGAGAATTAAAAAATAGAAAATTTGGTGTTACATAATAATGTTTATGAAAATTCTCAATTTTTCGTGGACAATCAATTTTTATTTATCGTTGTCATTACAGTACATGTAATATTACAAATACAATTATGCTTGTGAGATTAGCAATTCGTAATTTATGTTGCATACACTTACAATTGTACAATTCAAATACTGAAAAAAATACTAAAAAGAAATATCTTTCTTTCTACAAAAAGCAGTTAAGTACTTCTTAGGCTGGTTTTATTTTATAAAAATATATGTAGCTAAAATTTAAAAAATACATGATTAAACTTTGTCTTTTGTACACGTCGGAATTTTATGAAGTCTTCATTTAAGTGTACTATATACTTACAATGTAATTAAAGAAATTATGAAATATAAATATTGCATCCTATGAAATATTTAAAAATATTAAAACTATATTTATTATATTTTTCAAATCGGTTTTCAAAAACTTATATAATAATGTTAAACTATAATATGATACATTATTATCATTACTTTTGTACAGTTTTAAAATTCATTGGACTAATTAAACATAAAAATCCTTAAAATGTTAAAATTGCAGTTGTTATTCTATGTTAAAAATGAAAAATATTTTATATGAATATATGGCAATACCGTTTAAATCTTACAGAGTTTGTTAACAATATTGATCTAAGCCATTATATAAGCATGATTTCTAATTAAAAAACAAATGTAGTAAAATGCGTAAAAAAGTATATAAAAAGTGTACAAACGTTGTAAGGGAAGTCAGTGTTTTAACACTGTTGTACTTATGTGTTCATTGGTGTTAATTCATGTGCTTGCTGACCATTTACATTATTACTAGATCCAAATTGTGCTAAGGCAGACTGGCGCCATTTTCCGTTTTCACCGTGCAATTGTTTGTCTTCACAGATGCAAAGAAACAAGGTATCAATTACGGTCTAAAATCAAATACATCAGTTAGTAAATAACGCACATAATTTACATCGGTAAAAATTGTATGCAATATGTACCTCATAAAGGGAAATAATACTGTGAGCAATGAAAAATGCAAAAACGCAGGTGACAAAAATCGGAGCTGCGTAAAAGTATAATCTGGGATCTTGTTTCATAAATAGTAATCCAATACTACCAGTAGCAGCTGTCACAAAACATTTACCCAAAAAGAGAATAAAATCTCCTACTCCATTAATTACAGCTATTTGTAAAGCATTACTAACAAGTGTAGTGAACGCCTAAAATAACAATAAATATAACTTTTCTTTTTTTGTACATCACATTTCATAAAAATAAATCTTTTATGTTAAAATATAACATACAATTCTTGCGGCATTACAAAAATGTGTTCCTTCAATGGCAACAACAGTATATGCATTATGATTCATATACCGAATAAATTTTTCTAAACAATAGAAACAGCATATACAACATTTTAGGCCACACTGAGCACATGGAGAAGTTTCTTTGCTTTTCTCAAATCTATGAAATACATATGTTGTAAATTATACTGGAAGAAATTTTATGTGTATATATGTGCATGCGTGTATACATGCGAGATGTTCAAAAAAATTGTACTATCTGAAAATTGCAAATTCTTTATGCCAAAACAAATGGAAAAGTTTTGTGTCGCAGCTTTTAAGACGGTATAGGATTTTTCGATTTGATTTAGCATTTCATTTTCAGGCAATGCAACTTTTTTAGGACATCATTATTATATTTATAATATACATACTTAGCATATAGATATGTCAAAATTAAACGGGGTAATTTAAAAAGGGTTATTAAAAAGGAGCCACAAGCAACAGAACCTAAATGGTACATAACTAAATTTCCTATAGCAGAGCATACTGGAGAGGTACTAGCATCTTTCCCTCTGAAATAGTAAACATTACACATTACATAAATATTCTAAATCTATTATTTTATGTGCATATCTAAAAACTAATTTTTTATACTAATACCTAAAATACCAATGAGCAACAGCTCCTGCTATAACCATATCTTGACAAGAAACAATAAATTCAGAGGTCCATATTAATCCTATAATATATACCCACCACATATATTTCACCCAAGTTGAATCCACATATTCTACAAGGGTGAAAGCTGAAATATTTAAAACAAATGGTAACAATCGCTAAGTTAAAAGGAAAAAAAATGATAAGTATATTACTTTTAAAAGAATTCAGTGAAAAATCAAATTTCTTTTCTTCGACAAATGCACTCTTTTCCCCAACTGAACTCAAATTCAGGGGATCAAATATGTGGTTCTTGTACATTTGTACAGATTTAGTTCCAGGATAATCTGTAATTTGTAGTCATATAAATGTAATTATTATTATTTCTATTATACTATTAAATAGAAAATTAGAGTACTTACTAGCTGTTGCAAGACAAAGAATTACAGTAACCCAAAAGGCAAAAAATAATATTAAAGCTGCAAACGTCAACAAAGGTTGGAAAAACAGACCTGGTAATTCCGCTAAACATTTTGCACTTTCTTTGAATAATGCTGCCATAAATGCAATACGTTTACGTAATATAGTTAATAGGAACAATAAAATTACCTGCACAATATTGTAACTATTTGTTAAACTCAAATTTGAATGAATAGTAAAATTCATAATAAGCTATTCATTACTTACAGTTATTACTGTTGCAATAATAGAAAAGGCTAAGAATGCTCTTTCATTTCTAACAGATTCCTCTAGAAGCTGATTTGGATCAGTTTTATCTAAAGTTCTTTTAATTTCAATGTATGTCCACCATAATAATGTACTACCAGCTGTAAAATTCGATGTAAATTATGTTTCACTTAATTACAGGTCAAATTCTTTTATACATTATAAAATGTTTATAATGAAGTTGCAACTTTTTAAGTCATTAATCTAAATCAGTATTTCAGACAATACCATCAGTTCTATTACATGTAGGAAAATACTTTTATTTCATATTTCAGTAATTTATTATTAATAATACGGGTAATGTAGATGTTTAAAGTGCTTTTATCAAAGTATTTTTCAAAGGGGGTTTTCTGTCTTGCAAAGATACTATAATCTCTCCTTCTAATTTTACCTGAATAACATAATTCCCAATAAAAATCATTATATAATATTATATACTACATTCTACAAATATACATAACATAATAATTATAATCTTTTTTTTTTCTTAAAGAACTTACCAATAGTTGACACACTAACAAGAATCATTACAATCCATGTTACTATACTTGCCAACAAGTGAAATATAGCAATCATAAAAAGAGACAAAACTGAAACAAAATATGTAGAAATTTGTTATTTCGCTTCATATTATGAAGTCATATTTGGGCAATGTTAAAAAAACAATAAAAGAATATGCCATACCAAATGCTAGAAATGACAGAGATAAAATTTCTCTCCATGTTTTATATAAGTCTCCTAAAATTTGTTCAATAACATCCCATGAATTAATTAGACCATACAAGTTTGAAATGATAGTTTCTCCTACATCTTTAATAGCTTTAGGAATGCAACGATTAAGAACTGGTATACTCTTATATACTGGCAACTCAGGACAGGAGCCTGTTTTGTTTTTTCTATTTCCATTACTACATGCACTGAAGTCATTTCCAGGTTTATCATGACAAAGCTGTGATCCTGTTTCTTCATAAAATTTACATATGTCGTTCATTGTTGTTATAGTCCTGTCTGGACACTTTTTTACACAAATTTTTAAAGACTGGGTAACATTGTTTATGTCCAAAAAGAACAAGTATCTAAAATCATAGAGATGATAAAAGTTTTTGATAGATTTTCATAAAATATATATGGATTAAATGATAGTCTTAATTATACTAACGGTTTATCGCTAGTATCTTGCCCAGAAAGCTCCATACTACCAAATTTTGGATTAATTTTCATTCCACATGTATTTCCAAAGCTATCATATCCATTTATGAGTCTTACAGGATTACCATAAACCAAAGAAAAAGCTGCTATTAAAATCTGCAAAATAATACATCTGTTAATTATATTGGATTTAATATAAAAATATTATATCTTAAATATATAATTTATGATACTTGTTTGTTAAGATATGGAATTAATGCATAAAACTATACACACCATAAGAAACCAGAACGCTATGAAGCAGCAAAGCCAGAAAATATCTGTGCATCTTCGTACACGTGTTGGATCAGGTCGTTGTTCATCATCATCATCTCCTGAACAACAAGACATTTTATACAAATTTTGTTATTGTCAAAACAAGGCGCTAAAAACCACCGAGTCGATTTCGATTTAGGAACTACTCCCTCTGCTAAATTACCCTGAAGTTTGTAGTGCCTATCATTGACTACAGAGTAGTCACTGTGCCTATTTTGTATGACACCAAACCAACCGCTAGATGACACTGCTTGAATTTTAATTTATCAAATGTTATCGACACGACATAGCAAAGTGAAAAGTTGAATTTTATAATACAATAAAATATTTTAATATTTATGTAAGTTTCTGAGTATTTGTTACTTGTTATACCTTCGTATAGATGATGTTTAAATCTGTTTGAAGACTCATAAAATAACGCTATAAAATCTGTAGCTTAGAAACAGTTGTTTCTTCATACAGGGATAGGTTAATTATATATATAAAAACATATAAATATATATATACACAACAAGATTTTTACATCTAACAGATTTCTATTTTTGTTTAGATTTTATGAAACATGTCTGAAAATAAGAAGATCATACTTGTAACTGGTGGGACAGGATTAGTTGGCAAAGCTATTCAAAATATTATTGAAATAGATAAAAATGAAAATGAAAGGTGGATATTTGTAGGTTCTAAAGATGCAAACTTATGGTAATTTGTTATTTTGTTATTAATAGTTAACAGATTATTTATATAACCAGATCAAAACAAGACGTTACATTTTCAGCGATAAAGAAGGTACAAAAAAATTATTTGAGAAACACAAGCCTACACATGTGATTCATTTAGCAGCTATGGTTGGAGGTTTGTTCCATAACATGTCGCATAATTTGGATTTCTTGGTAAATAAAATTAATCCCAGGTAATTAATACATTATTATGGAAAGAACTAACGTGTATGTTATAAATTTTTAGCGTAACAATCTTCAGATGAATGACAATGTGTTACAAACTGCTCATGAAAATGGCGTTGTTAAAGTTATTTCATGTTTGTCAACCTGTATATTTCCTGATAAAACAACATATCCTATCGATGAATCTATGGTAACATAATAACATTTTAACATTTTCTTTTATATTTCCTCACACTATTCTTCTTTTTTAGATTCATAATGGACCACCTCATCCATCAAACTATGGCTATAGTTATGCCAAGCGTCTAATAGACATAGCAAATAGGGGTTATTATGAACAATATGGTAGACTCTATACAAGTATTATTCCATGCAATGTATTTGGTCCAAATGATAATTTTCATCTTCAAGCAAGTCATGTTATACCAGGCTTAATGAGAAGACTTTATGATTTAATAAAAGATGGTATAATATATTATTATGAACATTTTTATAAGTTATTCATTATTTTATAGTATAGTTCAGAAGCTGATATACTTTTTTCCTTTTTCAGGAAATACAGAAGATAAAACATTTACTATATTAGGTTCAGGAAAACCTTTAAGGCAATTTATTTACAGTTTAGATTTAGCTAAGTTAATAATATGGGTGTTGAGAGAGTATAATTCTGTAGAGCCAATTATATTGTCAGGTATATTAAAGAATTAATTAATGCTCATATAACATGTTATTTCTAAATGTTTTTAAATAACTCTCTTTTTGCAACAAATAGTCGACGAGTCTCAAGAGGTCACAATAACCCAAGTAGCTGAAGCAATTTCAAAGGCCTTTAATTTCAAGGGAAAATTAACATACGATAGATCTGCAGCTGATGGACAATATAAGAAGACAGCAAGTAACGCAAAGTTGCGAAAATATTTACCAGATTTTCAGTTCACACCATTTAATCAAGCCATTCAAGAAACTGTCGATTGGTACATAAAAAACTATGATCGGGCGCGAAACTAAAGGAAGGTGTTCAAATATTCCATTTGCAGTAAATCTGGCTGTGCGAAAGTAAGAAAAATATCAATTTATTATTATATTAAATTTATATTAAGATCCTTACAATATTAAAAGGTACATAACTGCATTTTTAATTATTTATGTAATTATTTAAAATAATTACGTAACAGAAGATTGATAATATGTTACCTAAACTGTACGTTACTTCCATTAGTATACTTTAAAGAGTAATGGCGAGCATTAAACAGATGTTACTGACATAAATAAAATATATTTTTAGAATAAATCTTCAATAAATATTAGATATTTTGTTTAGGCAAAAAATTTTCTAAAACTTACTCGTCCTAAAATTATTAAATAAACAAAAAGTATTTATTTTTTCTTAAAATTATTAGAATTATAATTACAAACCTTTCACGATATTTACTTTTACTTATTATTATCAAGATCACTACTTGATTTACGTATTTAAAACAATTTTAAATTAAAAGAAAACGGTATGAAGATGATATTTTAATCAAGGAATTAAAGAATAAAGATCTTCTATCATAGTTTAGTTGAAAGGTGTAAGACTGATTGGTCGGTGATATGCGCGACGATTATCGCGTGAACGAGGTGGAGCGTCGACGACGCGACGCAGCGTCTACCGCACAGGAGGCGTCGCGACGCACGCGCGTCTATCAATATAAATTGAGCGCTTTACGGAGCATGGAAGGTGCACGGTGGCTTAAATTCGGTGCTCAGTCGCGCTCGAGGTGGCTCACCTCGACGGTCGCGTAACGTTTGCGTTTTTCATTTACGATGTATTCCTACTCGCGACGCGACGCTTTTTTCGGCACGTGGTGCACCTTCACCGAGAATAAAATATACCTTCTGACAGGATTACGTAACAGTGGGTATTTCTTTTAAAGGGAAGAATGATGATAGGAGTGAACAGACACGCGTTGCGGTATCGCGAACGGTAACGCCGGCCGATCGGCTTTACTGGAAAAGTTCGCTATTTAGTGTCTGAATTCTGCAAAAGATATCTGAAAAACCATCCGTACGATTCCCATCCAGATTCTGTAACATCCGATGAAACATAGGAGATGAAATTCAAGGAAACTTGTAATAGAAAGACCGAACGTACTCACGAAGAGTCGTCGTTCGATGCGATAAAACTACTTGCTAGGTGTCCGATGTAAAATACCCTGACACGTGTTAACTATTTTAATTTCGTTAGCGAGTTTCATGACAGAAAAGTGGTTCGATGTACGCAGCGACCGAAACAAACGGTGAGGCAAACTTCATCGAAAATAGTGATACCGTTTGCATTGATTCAAATGGTAATTTGTTATTCCTTCCATCGAATGAAACGCGTTAAGTGGTGAGCATTAAGGACTCGGTACTTCGAGTAAGTAGTAAGTATCACTATTTGGGGAGACGTTGATAATTTAATCAATATCGATTGGGAGTTCAAACGTGGAGAGGAATTAGCTGTTAAGACTGGTTTTAAAACATTACATTAAATAAATTTGGAATATTTACCCACTTCAAGCTTGGCTTTTGCTTTAAAATTTTACTCTTAAAGCAGTTACGATTCGCGTAATCGAAAAGTTACATCCTTTTCCTTTCAAGCTTACTCGCGACGAACAGATCGTTTGTTAGATTTCATTCACGCTATCTAAACGAGTTTCTGGCAAAAAATATTTCTGTGGTAAAAATATTTCGCCCCTCGTGGATGAGATCCGCAAACTTTTAACTTACAGATAAGAATATTTTCAGAAATGATTTTGGAAACGTTTCACTACTTAAAAGTTTCAACGATCTCTGAAGAGTTTTAGGGAGTTTGGATCACTTACGTACGAAGTGTTACCACTCGAATCGTATAGAGTAGTCGAAAGGAATAATTTTTTCGTTCTTTTTTTTTTTTCAATACAATTCTGGAATTCAGTTTCGAGTTCATTTCCGGGCAATTTTTATTATTACGGTTTCTTCGTCTTATTTTGTTTCTGCTTTTCATTGTTCTACAATGCTCATTCTTCTCCGGAGGGTGGCCAAATAATACTGTGAGATCGTAATTTATAATGGATCCGGGAGACAATGTCCTTTATGACGGATGAACTATTCGTTAATTTCGTCTCCGGCAATAAAACAAAAGAAGAAGAAATATAGAAAAATCTGATCGTGAATTGTTAGTGAAAAAGTATCAACGTTTCCTTGAAGACAGGTACGAGATTGAAAAATTTGTATAATTTATTTAGCTGTTTCGTAGAAGGGAAATAAACAAGACGTTGTTCCGAAAAGGATCGTGGACAGTTTTCCTGTGAAATCCATCGTACCGTACAATTATCAGAAACATACATACGTATAAAAGCAACACTGCATACACGATTTATCATATTAATTGCGGTATTCGTCTTCCTCTCGCGTTAAGATCGTTGCGTTATCAGGCGATGCCCATGGACAGAGCAACGGGACAATCGCGTTTATGCCGAGTGTCGTTAGATAACTCGTGAGTCAGTGAACGCTGACAGACGACAAATTTAATGAGGTAATCGCAAAAGACACTCGTGGACGCGATTATACATTTCGAACACGATGCACGGAGCCTCGGCAAGAAGGATACGATACCGTGTTTAGATCGCGGAAGGACACGCACCGCGGGCAGCGGTTCCCAGAGAAAGTTTGCTCGCGAAGAGGATGGAGAAGACTCGCGGTTGGGTGGATAAGAGTTACGGAAATGCGGGCCGCGGAACGCGAGGACGACCTCGATCATATAACCGACGATCGTGTCGCGTCTCGAAGAGGTTTCGGATCAAGGGGCAAGTTCGTGTCAGCCGGTGATTCGAGGACGGAAAGCCGGTGCCTCGAGTTCTCGCCGACCTCGTGACTGAACACTTTAGCCGATTGAATGGAAGAATCGACACGAATGAGAAGAGATGCCTGGTATCGTGGTATTCCGACGACGGTGGAGCGTCGGCAGCGACGACCTTGTCGTGCCCGGTACTTTCCTCTTCATCCTGCATCTGATATGGTGAGTGAACACATTCGATCAATCGCTTTGTGCGATCCATCCATCCATCAGTTATTTTCAGCAGTTTCAAGCATTACCAATAGGACATCATACGCGGTATCCTTTTTATTTATAGAGGCTCCTTAAATATAAGGTACGTCCGCGGGATGATTCCGCGTGACCTACATTTTAGGCGTCGATCCGTCCGCAATAGCGTCGCATATTTTCATCAATTGATGTACAGATATTCTCTGAACACGTAATATCCGTTCTCTAATTTCCGCTTGAAATTTAATGATCGATCTGAGAGCTACCGTAAGACCAGCCACGGTACACGTTCTTGCTAACATGTCCTTCGAATACGAGTAGAAAATTGAACGATTTATTATATGTATAACGTGTAATTAACCGCGATTAGTTGTGCAGCGACAAAATTAGAAAGGGACAAACAAAGAGAGAGAGAGAGAGAGAGAAATTTTAATTATATCCTCGAGTTCCTTCGGCGATGCTGTCCAACTTTGAGCTTTTACTCCGATTTAAGCTGTCTCGAGCATAAAACGTGGAAATTATAAGACTATGGTAAATTCTAAAGAACCACTCGTTACTGTACTAATTATGCATTTTGAACTTACATTTTTAAGGATTTTAAACGAATTTTCTTTTTATTATATTATCATCTTGGACTGACGTCTATTTTCTATTAAAGATCTAATCAGAATAATCGTTTCACCGCTCCCAAAATATGATAATATATACAGGGTGTCCAAAACTACCCGTCCAGGGATGTTAACTTCTCAGATAAGCATATTCGGCAAAAATGTTTGAGATAAAAGTTGCAGTGATCGATGGATTTGTATTTGACCTTCAGATCCATTTTCAAGGTTATTCGGAGGTCAATACGTGTTTTTTAAATGGGAACCCCTATTTTTGACTACGGATTCTGAAAAAGCGCGAAATTTCACGTTTAGATATGTACTTATGTCCCGAATTCAAATGACTTCTAGAGGCCATTCAGAGGTCAAATCATTGTCTGGTGGATGAACATTTACGAATGTTATTATTTGGGTTTAGTATTCTATCCAAACTCGAGGTGAAGCATAGAGGCCTAGTATAACGTAAGTCGACCTATCAAAGACCTCGGAAATGGAGAACAAACTCAACGTCGGAGACAAGTTTATGAATCAGATGCCTGGTTCAATCTTAATTTAGTATCATTTTTTTTTACCACTAAACAATGATTCGACCTCTGAATGGTCTCTAGAAGTCATTTGAATCCAGGACATAAGTAAGGTCAAATACAAATCCATTGATCCTTGCAACTTTTATCCCAAACATTTTTGCCGAATATGCTTATCTGAGAAGTTAACACTCCTGGACGGGTGGTTTTGGACACCCTGTATATATTCTGAAAGGTCTCGACGAGTCCTGTCGAATGAGCCTAGCCTCAGGTTGCGCAAATGGAAAAAATTAACCTAACGTAACCTAATTAAATCGAGAGAGGAAATGCGATTGAGCTTTGTATGGTTAAGGTTTCGGAAAAAATTGCTTTTTTTTTCTTTGCTCTTCCTGGATTTGAACTCTCGGTCTCGCTGTCGAAGAACGAGTGCCTTAAACTGTACGCCACCCGACCGCTATTATAAATAGGAACTTTAAACTTCCTTTTAAGTAAAAAATACAAAAATTCAACCAAGATTAGGCTCATTCGATAGGACCCGTCGAGATCTATCAGGGGACATATCCTAATTTTGGTTCTACGGGCGGTGAAACATGGAACTGTACCCATCGTTTCTTTTCTTCATATCTGGATCGAGGATGAATTTACATATATGATCGTTGTAAATGCATTGCGATCAGTGTTGTAATTTATCGCGTGATTAGAGATGATTATTAGCTATCGATATCACAGGCTTATTATTAGCGATGATCAAAGGGTAGTTTTCGTGTCGGGGCAAGACGGTTCGTGTTCGCAAGTCTTAGCCTCGGAAAATCGTTAACGAACGTGGCAAATGACCCGGGAAAGAGAGGGAAGCAGCGAGGCAGGGAAAACGGAGAAATTGGCGATCGTCCATTTCATTTTCGTTATCCCTGTAAACCCGTGTCTTTTGATACTCCAATAGCGGAACATGGTTTTCTGTGTTTTCTTTCACAACGGACCAAACAGTCGATAAAATTTCAATTAAAACAACGTATGGCCATTGTTGACAGTTTCACAATCCTTCGAACGAATGTACAACCAATTTTCTTCTTTCACTGTGTATCGTTCCACGAACTTGTTGTTGAATTTTATCTCGAAAAGTCCAAATTTCATTGTCACCTGGAAATCGATTCGACGATAGATACGGAACAAATTGGATAATGCGATTAAATCTGTTCCGATTTTGTGGTTCCAAATAATTTAATCAATTTTTTACCAAAAGTTGCAATCGTGAAAGAAAAAACAGAATATTCGCGATTGAATTAAATTTTTATTTTTTATAAAGATGTCTTCGTCATATATTGAATTTCTTAGAAAGAAATATAATTTTCCTCCATGCTGATTAAGCAGATTAAAATATAGCACATCTCAAAATAAATATCCTTTGAGGTAATTGCTAAACGAAAAAAGATGCAAGGAGAACTGCAATAGAACTATTCTTAGTTATTTTATATTTAGAATCTCAGCATACTTCAGCAATATTTGAAAATCACATTAGGTTTCTTTATTCACATTTTATTATCTCTCCAATTTCACCCAAGGACAACTTAAAAAACAGTAAAATTCAGGACTTACTTAAATTTATAAAAGATACCAAACTGATAGAACAGATAATGTAAGCTTTACCTACTCCTTGATGTCGCTAATAACCTTGTAGTTGATGTGTCAAAAAACCCTAATTAATAATAATAATAATAATCTAACAAGCCTAACATTTTTATCAAATGCAAAACTCTTTCATTTTTTAAGTATCGGAAATCGATACTATGTACTGGTATCGACTGATCGATCAATATACATAAGTTGTGCACATTAAATCAATTTTTTCTTGTCATTCTTATGTGCAGTGGCTTTTGAATCTGTCTATTGTATATGTTACCGACAATATATGAAAAGCAGGCATTGTAAAGAATGGCAATATAGGCAATATAGATCTAAATCCTGATATAAACAATATTAATTTTCTCCTAAATTGAAATTTTTAATTAAAGACCTTTTAAGATTTTTTCTTATTTTACTAATTTATGACATAATTATTTTACAAAATTCTTATAATGTCTAGGAAAAGTTTGTATAATATTAAAATAATTCTGATATTTCATACTTTGCTCAAAAACGCCTTGTATATATTGCCTGGGCATTCAATAGAATGTCTGCTTATCAAATATTGCCGGTAACATAAACAAAAAATTACAATTTAAATATTGTTTTGTAGCATAAGAAGAGCGCGATAAAAGTTGTTTCCAAAATTCCCTCTTTTTCGGGTGGCCATGAACCCAGAGAGAGTATATAGTTTCGTTCCCCGTTTCTTTGATTCAGTGCATCCGCAACTGCCGACGAGTCACGAGGTCTGACGAGTCGAGCCGGTCGTGTGTTTGTTCAGTTGCCGAACGCACAGTAGTCGGTCGGCGCATATGGCCCGTGATTGATGCCGGTGTAGGTTATGTCATCGTGTGTGCATGCCGTTTTTTCTCAAGTACGAGGACGATTCTTTGATCGAGCCTCAAAATCGGCTAAAGAATGCCGGCACTTATCGCATTTGGCAGACGTTGGCGAGTCGGCAGCGACGACCTGTTCTTTCCGGGCGCCACCTTGGCTTGTATTCATGCACTTGAGTGAGTAACAAATAGCGCACTAAACAGATGCCTCTTGTCAAATTCTGACGTTTCTAAGTAGATCAAACTGTAATTCATACATGATGCATGTAAGTTGAAGATTATTAATGCAAAGAAGCATGTATTGAAATTACGGACATGTGACACCGGCAAAGTATTAATGAGCAGTATAATTACGACACATTTTTGATCTACTGATGAACGATTTTTTAATGCGCCATTCGGTATATCTACCCTTTACTTTAACGATCGATGTTTTGCGGCACTTGAATCTTCGAAAGTTCGTATTAAAGAGGGGATCGAAGAGCGTGAAATTTGTTACGCTCCGATTCAGTGAGTTGGTATGTAGAGTATAACGGAACAGTCAAACTGTTTAAAAATTACTTAATTTTTTTATATAGTTTCTTCCATCGAATCAAGCAACTTTCAATATGAAAGATTTTTCATATTTTGAATAATTACAAAAGTAGTAACGTATTCACACTTTAAACCGGATATGCTGTGCTAAAATACGTATCGTATTAACCTTTTTAATCGCGTCCCGATAGACGATAATTTCGAATGTTATGCAAGAGTGCAAATGTCAGCAACGATCACTTTGTGGTTAGGTCACTGTTCACAATAATGTTATAAATATTACGTACGTCATTGTAATGTCAACGTTCTGTTAGCATATTGATTCTTATAGAAAATGTCGCATATAATAGAGGCGAATAACCTTCGAATGAAAAGATTGCGCGAACGTTCTGATATTCAAAGTATGCGACGCATCATTAATAATCTGGCCAGCTATACATAAAGTCACCGATATAGGATAGCTCACGAGTATAAAATAATTGCAAGCGGATTACGATACAACGTATGGTAACGCATAACATTCGGATTATGGATTTTATTCGAATAGCTTAATTTAACTTGACGCTGTAAACGGATGTAGAATTATTTTGAGCTGTAATTACAATGTTATTACACGTAAGTATTCATTCTATTATAATTGTTAATTGCTAATTAATTCACATCATTTTTAATTATTAAATGTTACAAAGATTAGTATATAACTGAAAAGTACGAATAACAAATTAAATATCAATTCAAATTTTCCCGCGTCAATGTTTATACGCAAGTGGTGGGCCGCCATTAGGGCCTTCTCCCACCAATCGTCAGTTTCCTCGGGACCGTACCCGAGAGAACTTAGGGGAGGGAGGTTATCG